TTGAGGGTTCTATACTTCCTTTCAAGGCTTAAATTGAAATTTATATAGTAACTATGACCCTTGTATCTAGTTAGTATTCCAGTTTCTGAATATTCAAATAAAAAGTAATTGCAATTGCAGATAGTTAAAGAAATGTTCTGATTGCAATGATTGTTCTATAGAATAATGATATAAAAGATATGAAGTATTAAATTTAAAGAACATACTAAAAAAAAAGAATGTTAGATTGAACATGTAGAATATAAAGATAGAGAAACTTTACAAGTACAAGGGTACTATAAATATAATACATTGGATGGAAAGTTGAAGAAAACACACTTTAAAAGACAATTTTTACAGCACACGGTTACATTTACGACAAAATTTATGTCGATTAAAAACCTCCTGACCAAAATATCCCAATTTCCTGATCTGAGTTTCACAGTCCATCACATGTATGAATACATAGTCCCCTACTGGTTAAAAATTCATTGTAATGGAACGAAATTCTAACTTGATCTATAACTTGTCATGGTGTAAACTACATAAAAATATCAAGTCAAAATCTTCAAGCATGACGAAAAAAACTGTTGAAAACTGATTATTTAAGTGAATTTTCTATGTCCAAAAACCATAACTCTGTACTAAATCATCAGACCGAAACAAAATTCCAACTTGATCTGTAACTTGTCATGATAAAACTATATACTAATTATCAAATCAATACCTTCAAGAATGACAAACAAACTTCTTTTTTTTTTTTAAATGAGTTATTTCCCTTTGAACAGAAATCTACTAATTAATAAGTATTTTATCAAAAATTTAATTCTAGGGAAAGGGCTTTAACTGAACAAAGAGAAAAGCTAAAACCGTGAAAATTGAACTTGACCTGTAACTTTTCATGATAAAACAACAAACCAAATATCAAATCAATATCTTCAAGCACGAAGAAAAAAAGTCTGGAAAACTGATTTGCCGGACTGACAGATGGATGGACAGATAGACAGACAGATGGACGGAGTGCAAACCTAAAGTCCCCTTCGACTTCGTCGGTAGGGGACTAAAAAGTGTTCTTCATGTCTACCTTATTTATCTAAAACTAATAAGTAAGGTAATGTTGACGGACCAAGTGGATGTTCATAAACTCTGCGATATTTTCAATTTCAAACTGCAGTTGTTTGAGGTTTAATTTTTTCTGTACATTTTTAACTAAATAAAAGGTCCACAACTGTGCATGGTATTAAGTAGTAAGATTCTGTTTCTTTTCTATGTGAATATTAAAGATTTTAGTTAAAAAAAATATGCATATATATGAAGGAATAACACATAGAGCAAAACAATGTTTCATGCGTGGAGAATACATCAAAAGACACTAATTAACTAAATTGCCTATTCACGGCGTAAATATTTTAAAAGACCTTTTACTTCCCTTCTATTTTTTTGTAATAAAAAGATTTTTTAATCTGATGAAAGATTATTAGAATGAAATTTCATTTGCAAAGTAGTCTAGGTAAACCATTGTATGAAACATACATATAAATAACAAGAAATGATTGTAACAGGATGCTGTTACGAAGTCTCCAAAACGAAGCTCCCATAATTCGTAATTCCCAGGGTCGCCTGACATTGGGCAAAGTCCAGTGAAAATTGGTTTGGTCCAGTAAAGTTATATGCATTAGTGATGCCTGGAGACTAACCCTGTATATCATTCAAATCATCTTGGCATGACAAACCAGAATATATATGGTTTAGGGGTGGGGATCTCAACCATTTACAAGATATTAGAACTTTCTCAAATGGCAGGGGGTCGGGATGACCCCTGGGGACTAATCTTGTATATCATTCAAACCATCTTAGCATGACAAACCAGAATTTATATGGTTTAGGGGTGGGGATCTTGACCACTTACAAGATATTAGAACTTTCTTAAATGACATGGGGTGGGGGTGACCCCTGGGGACTAACCCTGTATTTCACTTGATGTGCTTTATCATGACAAACCAGAATATATATGGTTTAGGGGTGGGGATCTCGACCATTTACAAGATATTAGAACTTTCTCAAATGGCAGGGGGTCGGGATGACCCCTGGGGACTAACCCTGTATATCATTCAAACCATCTTTGCATGACAAACCAGAATATATATGGTTTAGGGGTGGGGATCTTGACCACTTACAAGATATTAGAACTTTCTTAAATGACATGGGGTGGGGGTGACCCCTGGGGACTAACCCTGTATTTCATTTGATGTGCTTTATCATGACAAACCAGAATATATATGGTTTAGGGGTTGGGATCTCAACCTTTTACAAGATATTAGAACTTTCTCAAATGGCAGGGGGTCGGGATGACCCCTGGGGACTAACCCTGTATATCATTCAAACCATCTTTGCATGACAAACCAGAATAACTATGGTTTAGGGGTGGGGATCTTGACCACTTACAAGATATTAGAACTTTCTTAAATGACATGGGGTGGAGGTGACCCCTGGGGACTACCCCTGTATTACATTTGATGTGTTTTATCATGACAAACCAGAATATATATGGTTAAGGGGTGGGGATCTCGACCATTTACAAGATATTAGAACTTTCTCAAATGGCAGGGGGTCGGGATGACCCCTGGGGACTAACCCTGTATATCAATCAAACCATCTTAGCATGACAAACCAGAAATTATATGGTTTAGGGGTGGGGATCTTGACCACTTACAAGATATTAGAACTTTCTTAAATGGCATGGGGTGGGGGTGACCCCTGGGGACTAACCCTGTATTACATTTAATGTGCTTTATCATGACAAACAAGAATATATATGGTTTAGGGGTGGGGATCTTGACCACTTAAAAGGTATTAGAACTTTTTTAAATGGCAGGGGGTGGGGATGACCCCTGGGGACTAACCCTGTATTTCATTAAATGGGCTTTATCATTTAGAACATTTTCAATTAAAAAGATTGTGTCTATCACAAACGGTTTTCAATTTATACTCATTTGAAAAAAATTTAAAATAAAATCCCATAGGGTTCTATAGTAAAACCCTCTTTTCTTTTTGCCCCTCAAAGTACCCCTTTATAAACCCCATTGCACAAACAAAACCCTGATTGCACCACTAGACATGTTAATCTAAGATATTGTGAAACCCTTAGTTAATCTGACAAGTGGTTTTGGAGAACGGGTGCGGACAAGTTCAAATTTAAAAGCGGCGGAAGAAGAAGAAGAAGAATAATAATAATAATAACTGAGCAAAAACAATAAGTCTTCCCAAACTTCGTTTGGGAGACTTAATAAACAGGTCATTGATATGAATGATTTCATTGGATGATTAAATGGGGCTTTGCTCCTCCCACTTGTAAAGTGATAATCATTTCATGGTTGAGCTAGCAAGTAAGCTAACCAAAGATTCTACCTTTACCTACACACTCAAGTCATTCTGCTGTAAGAAGTCTAATTTATTAGATAAATTAATAGATCACAAACCAAGGCTTCCAAAACGGTCATATATTCCGGACATTTATATAATGTCCGGTAAAAGTCCGGCTTGGCAAAGCATGAAACGGACATCTACTTTTTAGTTTTCAAGGCTTAAGTCTTAAGAGACGGTCATTTTAACATAATTCACGATCTTTTTGACCCAACCTTTTGCCTTTAACAGCCACACATTTCCGGTCATAAAAGTGACATGATCATTAAGTACTATCAAAACAACCCCTACTTTAATACCTTCTCATTTTAATCAAGGCTAATTAGTTGTCGAACAGCTGAAATTTACCTGTTCAGGTGACAGGTAAACTATTTTGAACCAGACATTGATCGGTCTATTCAAAGTTATTTTCTTACATTTCAGCGGTTTGCATCTAATTAATTTAGTTAAAAAGATTTAAATTATAAGAAATACGTTTACAAATATGATTTGATAAAAAATTTAAAAAGGTGAAAATGAAAAATCGTCATAACCACGTTGTTTGAACCAGAGACATGTCTCTGTTTGAACTAGTACACGTGTGCGCATGTGCGCAGGTGTGAATTTTAATTATGCATCCTAATTTCTTCAAAAAATGCTTAAATTGTCATTGATACCTTTATCTCACGTTTATTTCGAATATTTTCTTGAAGAAATAACGTAGAATGAGCTACTTACACTCATTCATGCTTTGCAAACGTACACGGAATTTACGTATCCGTCGATGGTCCATGCTTTACCATTGTCAAGTTAACATCCGGTTTAGATTTAAAAAACGAAAGTAAAGTTTTTGACAACGTTATTTTGCACAAATAAAGAGTCTAAGCAGATATAAGTACGCTGATGTTGCACACTTCGAATGATGCACTGCCAATTAAATAGTTTACGTCAGAACTTCGAATTTGAATCAAAGAAAGTTTAATATCGTTTTTTTTTAAATGTCAATCATTGGGATGGCCAACTCGGCAACTGATTACCATAATTGCCTTTTATTTATTTAGTCTTAAGGGATTAAAATCGGGATGATATATAAAATGTCCGGCTGGCTAAAAATAATTTTGGAAGCCCTGTCACAAACTACATTTGATAGAAAAAAAATTGGTTTCTATTGGTTATTTTCAGGATCGATTCATCAACTAAGTTTCATAATGCTTACAAGACAATTAAAGACAGGGCATTACAGTACATAGGGCTTCAGTGGTCATAGTTTAGAGGTAGAAATAGGGTTGAATGTAGACTCCACATTGACAATTTTAGCAGAGGAAGAAGCAGACCTATTCACTGCTATTGTTGAACGAGTTAAAATCGGCATATTATGGCAAGGAAATCTAAATGCTGTCCAAGACAGCTGACCAGACAACTAAATGCTGTTCAAGCATAATAGGTAGTTGTGCTAATGTGTTATATATGTGTATTACCTGTGTGCTAGGGCAACATTATTAGGTGTAAAATTCCAAACCATGACCCTTGTATCAACGGTGTTGTTTCAACCGTATTATTGCAACAATCAGGGTTTATAAAAAGTCAACTAAAACATACCATATATTATGAAAACATACCTGAGAAACTTCTAAGGTCTGCCATAGATTAGCAGCAATATCTGGTGTTTTAGCTATAGCTGATAATGTCAGTAGTATTTGTGCTTTAAGACCTGGTGGTACACTGCATGTAAGAAGACCAAACAAGCAAACAATCAAGGACCACTGTTGGTTTTCACAAAAGGCTATTCTGCAATTCTCATTCTGTAAATGAACAAATACAATAAAAAAAAAAAGCACATAACAAGAGAAAACATGACGGGTGCCACATGTGGAGCAGGATCTGCTTACCCTTCTGGAGCACCTGAGATCACCCCCAGTTTTTGGTAGGGTACGTGTTGCTCAGTTGTTAAGTTTTCTATGTGTGTTTTGTGTACTGTTGTTTGTCTGTTAGTATTTTTCTTTTTTAGCCATGGCAAATGTATCTTTCACCTGTCTTTTACATGTCTAATAAACAAATACTAACTAAACAAGTTTTGTATCAAACTTAAAAAGTAGCAGCTTCATTCTCCCTGAAATATGATCTACAAACTCTCCCCACTGATAATAGGACAAATAATAACATCAACATAACAACTACAAATTCTCCAACTAAAAATATGAGAAATATGTATGTTACTTTCAATACTTTCATGTGCACCCCAACTTGCAAAATAGCATGTACCACAAGTAAAACTGTAAACTTGCCAAACCTGTTATCTAAAATATCTGTTATGCTCTGCATACTTGTTACACACTCAGCCCACTTTAAAAATCAGAAAAAAACAAAAAATTCTTGGTCCACCTGTTTTATTAAATATCTTCTTTTATGTTCTACTTAACCATCAATTTTTAAAGAACAAATTAAATTAAATTAAATACACCAAATCATTTAACTACTGTTATGGAAAAGATTAATAATCAAATGGGAGTGAAAATAAAATTAAAATAAATATCACTTTATCAATTCATGTATTTTTCATGTGCTCTGAAATTCTGTGTTAATTGTTTATCAATATCAAGATCCAGGTAAACCTGGCAACAACAGTTAATTAGCTTGTGATTTTCAATCACTAAATAAAATATAAGATGTTGATAATACGTTATAGATTCATATTTTGTGTAGTGCTCACTGTATTTACCTTAGTTTTTCATGAAAACTATATTAACACACATCAGGTGTGTAGTGCTCACTATTTTTATCTTCATGAAAACTGTACATAAACACACACCAGTTGAGTAATTCTCAGTGTTCATCTTAGTTTTTCATAAAGATTGTACAGTTACACACATCAGTTGTGTAGTGCTCACTGTTTATACCTTAATTTTACATGAAAACTGTACAATAACACACATCAGTTGTGTAATTTCTACTGTGTTTACCTGAATTTTTTAAGAAGATTGTACAGTAACACATATCAGTTGGGCAGAGAACACAGTTATTTCATAGTGCATTTCTTTAAGACAAAAAATGGAAATTAAAAAATTCATACCTGATCTATCCAAAAAAGATTTTTAGTGTGGTTAACTACTTTTGGGACAAATTATATCAAATTATAGAAAATTCTAACTCAAAATATGGACGTTAAGGGGGTCTGTAATTCAGTTTGACAGCTTCAGACATACAAGTTTTTGACCTTTTTAAACTGGACAAAATCATTTGACTGTAAATTCACTATGTGTAAATATCTGTTTTTGATTGTATTGTAATTTGTATGTGAGGGCCTCAGGGAAGATTAGTTTATTGTAACTAACTGTGTTTACCCTCTTCAAATAAAGAATTTATTATTATTATTATTACTTCTTTACCTAATAAACTGTTAACACAGAGATATGTCTCGCCTATTTGTTATTTTGATAATGCAAATGTTGAAATTAAAATAGCAACGCTTTAACATATAAGTTCTGCAAATATTCAAAGTCAATGAACCATGACTGAAGGTACAGGGCTAAACAATCTCCATGGAAATGAGATGTGCCAATGCTAATACAACTGCATACCAAATACCATTGACTTTTCATAAGTCGTACCCTTTAAACAAACATTAAATTGTAAACTATGTAAAAGTTTCAAAGTCAATAGACCATGACTGAGGGGGCAGGGCCAAATAATCTCCATGGTAAAGAGATGTGCCAATGCTAATAGTAATACAACTGCATACCAAATATCATTGACCTACCACTAGTGGTTCACCATAAACTAGACCTGATCACAAACTTAATACATTGTTGACGCCGCCAATGCCAGAAACAACATACATATGTCTCGCTTTTCGACTCCGTCAAGGCGAGACAAAAATTAATGCCCCAAATCTTTATTTAATGTAATTTTGTCCCCTAACAAAAATCAAAGGACAATAACTGTGTCCTCAGACCAGTTGTGTAGTGCTATACCTGTCAACTGACCCCGATTTTGTAGTACAAAACTGTGAATTTAAGAGCTTACCCAATATTTTTCTATTTTAGTTGCCCCGGTAATTAAATAACCTGTAAATTCAGCATTTGACCAAATTTCACCCGTATTCTGAGACTTTTTAAGAACAAAATGATAGATTTCATAAGTGATTTTGATTTGAAATACTGGCAAATTCATAATTCTTCCTGGACAGGAAGTACAACTATCTGTGTTAACTGGCAAATTAAGTGCATGGCTTCACTTGAAGCTTTGGTGTCAAACACACTGTTAATTAATACCAAATTACCTTAGCCTAAGGTCATAAATAATTTGTGTATTTCAAAGATGCTTGACAAAAATTTGAGTTACTCCCCTTTTTTTGACACTTTTTGCAGTATAATCCTTAAACTGATTATTCTTTGTGAAAAATTTAATCTAAGGCAAATTGAATGCAAAGATATATGAAAATATTACTTAAATTATTTTTACTTTCTTAGGACAATTAAACTAAAGGCTCTAAAGACTCACCTTGGTCTATGTGCATATTCAACAAAGGACACTCTCCAACATTGTAGATGAGAATAGAATTCATGACAAAAATCTCTGTTTTGTTGATCTTGTATTGCTGATCATTTAGTCTGTTTAGTTTCTCTCTATCTTCATAAATTTTTGCTCAAAACTCAAAAGAGGGTAAAAAAAATCCTCATTTAAGGACATTCACTCCTATAAAGAGTGACATTCTACTAACTATATCGGCAAATTTTGACTTGTTAGTAGATCTTGCCTTGCTGATCATTTTTGTGATTTAAAGTGTCTATTTATCTATTATAATTTTTTTATCATATAAGGCAAAACACAAAAAAATGGTAAAAATCGTCATTAAAGGGCAATAACTTCAATAAGGAATCATCAGAAGATTTCCTCCATATCATCTAAATTGTAGATCTTGTCTTGCTGATCATTTTTGTAATTAAAAGTTTCTCCCTATCTATTATAGTTTTCAAAATAATAGGCAAAACTGTTAAAAAAAAATGGTAAAATTTGTCATTTAAGGACAATAACTCCTATAAGAAGTCGTCTGACAGTTTTGACGTATATGAACAATTGGTCGAGCTCAACATTCTGAACATTTTTGCCCTGTCAGATTTCTCTATTTATAAAGGTTTTCAAAATAATAGACAAAACTTGCATTTTACCCCTATGTTCTATTTTTAGCCATGTCCGCCATCTTGGTTGGCAGACGGGGTCATCAGACACATTTTTTAAACAAGATACCCCAATGATGATTGTGGCCAAGTTTGGTTGAATTTGACCCAGTAGTTTCAGAGGAGAAGATTTTTGTAAAAGTTAACGACGACAGAAGACGACTGACGGACGACACCAAGTGATGAGAAAAGCTCACTTGGCCCTTCAGGCCAGGTGAGCTAAAAATTAATATTTTGAAAATTATTTTTTTCATCTCCACATCCTTTAAAATGCTTAAATTTTAAATCACATTATCTAACCAACAGCATCAGAATCTGGTTGGTGATCAATGTCTCTAAACACACCTCACCACCCCCTTTATAATATTATCTAATATAAACTACTTTTATTTAAAATAACAAATATGGCTATATAGCATTCACTAACCATGAAACAAAAAGGTTATGGGTTGACTTAAGGCAGTGTGATTGAAACAATAAGAGGGTGTATGGCTTGAATTGATATTCTAAAAAATTAATATTTCAATGATTAATAAATGCAATGAAAAAATAAAAGTTTTAAATATTTTCAGTAAATACTTACCCATTGGAAACTTTTAGATTTAAAATATAAACAAGAGTGCACACGCTGAAATGTCTTGCCTGTTTTACTCACCATTGATTTTATGTTGAAAATAAAAGTTTTACTACTAGTATCACATAAAACATTTTTAAAGATCCATGACAATGAGGTCAAGGTCAAATAAAAACTGTCACACAGACATGTACACCTTACAATTATTCCATACACCAAATATAGTTGACCCATTGCTTATGGTAATTGAAAAATAGACCAAAACACAAAAACTTTATGTTAACCAATGAACCATAGAAATGAGGTCAAGGTCAGATGATACTGGCTTGATAGACATATACACCTTACAATCATTCCATACACCAATTATAGTTGACCTATTGCTATTAGTATTTGAAAAACAGACCAAAACACAAAAACTTAACATTGACCAATGCAACATTAAAATGAGGTCAAGGTCAGATGACACCAGCTAGACAGACATGTACACCTTACAATCATTCCGTACACCAAATATAGTTGACCTATTGTTTACAGTACTTGAAAAACAGACCAAAACACAAAAAATTAACAATGACCAATGAACCATGAAAATGAGATCAAGGTCAGATGAAACCTGCCAGTTTGACATGTACCCCTTACAATCATTCCATACACCACATATAGTTGACCTGCTGCTTGTAGTATCTGAGAAACGGACCTCATCACGTAACTTTAACCTTGATCACTGATCCATGAATTGATGTCAAGGTCAGGTTAACCCTGTCTGACGGACATGTAGACGTTGCAAGGAACCCATATACCAAATATAGTTATCCTATTACTCATAATAAGTGAGAAATTCACATGACAAAAAACTGTAATTTTTTTTCAAGCAGTCACTGAACCATGAAAATGAGGTCAAGGATAATGGGCATATGACAGACTGAAACTTCGTAACATAAGGTATCTACATACAAGTTATGAAGCATCCAGGTCTTCCACCTTCTGAAATATAAAGCTTTATACAAATAGTTTACACCGCCGGATAGTAATACCTATGTCTCCCATACTGGGACGAAAGTCGCAGGCGAAACAAAAATGTCCCCTAAATACTTAAATTCAGCAGAAAAAGTTTGTACCTAAGATTTTCTTCTTAAATGCAGGTCATTATCTGCATTTTCATTTTCAGAGGTTGACTGGTATGTAGTGCTCAAAGTTTTTACCTTAATTTATCATGAAGACTGTACAGTAACACACATCAGTTGTGTAGTAAAATATGTTTTTATCCTAAAACTTATTTTTTCATGAAGCCAGTACATTAACACATCAGTTGTGTAGTGCTCAATGATTTTTACCTATATTTTTTCATGAAGACAGTACATTAACACATCAGTTGCTAAGGGCTCACTGTTTTTACCTATATTTTTTCAGGAAAACTGTATATTAACACATCAGTTGCTTAGTGCTCACTGTTTTTACCTATATTTTTTCATGAAGCCAGTACATTAACACACCAGTTGTTTAGTGCTCACTGTTTTTACCATTATTTTTTCATGAAGACAGTACATTAACACATCAGTTGCTTAGTGCTCACTGTTTTTACCTATATCTTTTCATGAAGGCTGTACATTAACACATCAGTTGTGTTTTATTCACTGTTTTTTAGGTTTTTACCTGAAACTTAGTTTTTCAAATGCCTGTACCAAGTCACGAATATGACAGTTGTTTTCCATTCGTTTGATGTGTTTGAGCTTTTGATTTTGCCACTTGATAAAGGACTTTCTGTTTTGAATTTTCCTTGGAGTTCAGTATTTTTTGTTATTTTACTTTTTTTTTCCATGAAGACTGTACATTAATGCATCAGTTGTGTAAGGTTCACTGTATTTTCCATAGTTTTTCATGGAGATTGTTCATCAAAACAATTCAGTTGTGTAGTGCTCAATGTGTTTACCATAGTTTTTCATGAAGACTGTACACTTTTTAGGAATAAGACACACATCAGTTGTGTAATGATCACTGTACTTACCTTCTCTGCAATAACATTTGCAAGTTTCAAGACTGAAATAAGTCCCTCTAATTCCTTTAAGGTAATGCCTCTGATATGGGGAGCTCTTTGGGAAACCTCTGAGGAGGTTGGCATCTCTCGTCTCAAGCTTGAGTAGTATTGGTTCAGGGAGACAAAAATATGGTTCCAGGATACAGAACTTGATGGACCACCTGTAAATTGTAGATATAAACACAAATCCATTACACTTTTCAAAAGCATGCACAGCCAAATTATTGACCCTGCTTTTTTACAAGGATGCTTTTTTATTTTCACCACTATAACATGAACATACATCTATCAAATGTTTTTAATTTTAAATGAAATGAATGTCGTGTCATTTAATGCAATACATAATATCCTATAACCTTCCAGATTACATGTTTATCTATAGTGCCAAGAATCTTCTTGTCATAATTATGACTTAAAGGCGTTTTAAAACCATGGAAATGCAGAAACTTTATAGTGTGGATTCATTATTATTCGTTGGATACAAATTTTCGTGGATTTCGAAGGTACAGGGAAACCTCGAATTGAAATATTCAACGAAGTACAAATTTGCTTTATGAATATATCAGACTTTTGGAAAACCACGCAATCAAATATCAACGAAAGTGCAAGTTTTCCTTAATCCACGAAAATTGGTACTCACGAAAATAAATGAATCCACAGTAGATATTTCCAGAATCATGTGTGAAATGAAACTGCTGAAAAGATTTATGTTAATTGTTTGTGAAGTGAAACTTTTTTAATATAATTTTTGGTGAGACATAACTACACTTTTAGTGCCTTCAATAATGGTCAGACAGACATAGTGATTACTATATGGCAATGCTGACTAGTCAGTGGAAACCTAGATAATACAGATAATGTTGCACACTATATGACTAGAGAAGAATAGTGATGCTTATGAAGCATAGTAAGTAGGAATAAATGGGGAATGTGTCCATGGGACACAGATGATGCCCTTGCTTGCATATCATATAAAGTTATAAAGAGACATAACTGAAGAACGGTAAAAGTGACGCTACCCAAATTTGTTATTCATTTGAGTTTTGTAGTAATAAGTATTGTGTATAAGTTTCATAACATTTGTTTGAGGCAAACTTAAGTTAGAGAATGGAAACGAAAAATTCAGCATTTTTTTCATTTTGTAAAGGGACATAACTCTAGAACAGTAAAAGTGATGCCACCTAAATTCAAACTTGATCTGTATTTTGTGGTAATAAGCATTGTGTATAAGTTTCAAAACATTTGGTCGAGGCAAACTAAAGTTACAGAACGGAAGACCATTTGTTAAGGGGCATAACCCTAGAACGGTAAAAGTGACGCCACCAAAATTCAAACTTGATCTGTGTTTTGTGGTAAAAAGCATTGTGTATAAGTTTCATAACATTTGGTTGAGGCAAACTAAATATAGAGAATGGAAACAAAATTCAACAACTTTTCCATTTGCAAAGGGGCATAACTCTAGAACAGTAAAAATGACACCACCAAAATTCAAACTTGATCTGTGTTTTGTGGTAATAAGCATTGTGTATAAGTTTCATAGCATTTGGTTGAGGCAAACTAAAGTTAGAGAACGGAAACCAACTTTGGGACGTACGGATGGACAAGGGTAAAACTTAATACCCCCTCCACTACGGCGGGGGCATAAAAATCCACTTAGATTTTGGGATATTCAACTGAATCAGTATTCCAAATAAGATACTTTCCTGGTCTCAAGGTAACTATGTTAGTCTAAAAATTAGTTGTCAATCAGAAGAAGTTAATTACTTTAGCGTTAATGTAATCTTATTTCTAAATCATTAAGAAGGATTTTTTTTGGTTTTTGCTAATTTGAAATATTGGATACATAAAAACAGTTTTGCATGTGTATTAAGCACATCTTTTAACTGCCAAGACATATATAAATTGTAAAAATCTAAATTTCATTAAAAGCTACTGAATAATGGTTCATTTAAAATTAATCAAAGTGATGGTAAGAGATAAATGAAATAAACACTTGTTTTGTTCATCCGCAGCACTTTTCTGGATTTAACTTGATCAGGAACTATCAACCTAAACATTTGAAAGCCAGGGATGCATAATTATACTGAAAAGGAGCAAAACATAATAGTAATCTACTTTGCCTGAAGGAGTTGGAACCTTAGATTCTAAATAGTTTCTTAAGATATGAATGGGAATTTTATAAATAAGTACATGTTTTAACTCTTGTCAGTAAGGAAACACTGATGATGATACCCTCAGGGACTTACGTCACCTGGCAGGGGTATCAACCCAGAGATAGTAAATGGCATAACACTTAAATAAGCTGAAACATTAGGAGCTATATAATAACAAGAATGTGTCCTTAGTACACGGATGCCCCACTCACACTATCATGTTCTATGTTCAGTGGACGTGAAATTGGGGTCAAAGCATAAAAAAAGGACCTAAACAGAATAACCAAATTTATCCTTTCCGGAGGGAGTTAGATGTACAAATCTATCACATTACATTTTATTTTAATACCTGATGCTAGACCATTTGCTTTCAGTAGTTCAAAACAATGCAGTGCTGACTGACTGTTGCTGGCTAACCCTGTCAACATGTTAATATAAGGTACATATAGTGAAGGTGGCAGTAAGTCTCCAGCTAGACGTATAAATTTATTAAGAGACACCTGAAATAAAAACCATAATAAATAACTAGATATAGACAATGCCCCTCTGCTCTGCCATATGTATGAGTATACATGTAGTTCCACATACTTTAGATTTGACAAACAGTGATGTTGAAGTACAACTTGAAATTGTTGTGCTGTCTGTAAGACACAAATGATACCCACGCCTCACCATAAGAAATTATAAATTTAACACTATGTATGATGATCTATCTTTTATTTTTGTTCTGAATGTCTACACTTGCAGGACTGAATGTCAAGCCAAAAGGTTTCAACTTTCCAGTTTTAGTAATCACCAAGTTTAACTTTCTATTTCCAGTGGTCACCAAGTTCAACTTCCCAGTATTGATTAAATATTTGAAATACTAAATAAAATGCTCCGCTGGGCACAGCTTGATATGACCGCAGAGGTCGAACCCTGAACAGTTGGGGCAAGTATGGACACATCATTGAAGCATAAAACAGCTATGAATTTGGATTGTGATTGAATATTTGACACAGCATAGGTTTGTGACACAAAATGAATGTGGGAACTGAAAAATTTGAAAATTGGACATTTACAAATTATGGTCTAATATCCAAAATCTAAGTACATGGTTAGAATCAGCATATCAACTTTTAACCATTTTCAATGAGGATTAATTTAAAGTCTTGAATTGCTGAGGGTTCTTACCGTGTATTACTAGATTTGTATTTATTTTCAATTGAAGATTTCTTGCTGTTGCGCAATACTAGGTAAATCAGTTTACAGACTATATATAAAAATTTACACACCCTGTTTGGTCTGTATCTCCTGCCGTATAAGTATTTGTTGTTTCTTTATATAGATCGGAAATAATTTATGTTAGAACCAGCTTAAACAGTAATAGAAAAGTCTTGTTTTTGGCCCCTATTTGGCCTCTAGTTTCTTAACAATTAAAGCCATGACCCCCAAAATTGACCACATCGCACTGTGTGTGGTAATGAACCTTGTGGTACAATTTCATAGAGATCCATTGACTAATACTTAAGTATTGGTCCAAAAAAACAGAAAAACCTCCCCCCTTTTTTGCCCCTTATTCCTGAAGGGCTTGAGCTATAACCCCCAAAGTCAAACCCAACTTTGTTTGTGGTAAGGAACCTTGTGGTTCAATTTCATAGAGATCCATAGACTAATACTTAAGTAATTGTCCATTAACCAGAAAAACCTTGTTTTTCCCCCCTTTTTTCCCCTAATTCCTGAACGGTTTGGGCCATAACCCCCAAATTTAATCCTAACCTTCCCTTTGTGGTAAGGAAACTTGTGGTACAATTTCAGAGAGATCCATACACTGTTACACAAGTTATTGTCCGGAAACTAGAAAAAAGTTTTTTTTGGCCCCTTATTCCTAAACATTTGGGACCAAAACCCCCAAAATCAATCCCAACCTTCCTTTTGAGGTATTAAACCTTGTGTTTAAATTTCATAGAATTCCATTCACTTATACTAAAGTTATTGTCCGGAAACCAAATGTCATTCAGAAGACGACAACGTGATAGCAATATACGAACGCAATTTTTTTGGGGTCGTATAAAAATCTTATTTATTGCATTTGGGACATTAAACTGTAGTAGAACAACCCATGTTTTCAATTATATAACAAGTGAGAAGGAAATGAAGTCCAACTACAGGTATTTGTCTAACTACAGGTATTTGTGAATATCTAACATCCCCCTTTCTGACTTTTAGTACAAAAAAAATCCAAACACCTGGCATTTTGAGAATATTTGAAAAAAATCTAAATTCTGTGGACATGCACACCTCTATTATGTGTACAAAAAACCTACAAAATATTAAAGCTGTAGCTCAAAAACTGTAGGGGATAGCTGGACAAACCATGATCTCTTTTTGCAGCTAGTACCAAAAAATGACCAAGTCCAAATACCTGGTATTTTGAGAACATTTGAAAATAAAATGCTCCGCAGGGCGCAGCTTGATACGACCGCAGAGGTCAAACCGTGAACAGTTGGGGCAAGTATGGACACAACATTCAAGCTTGATACAGCTCTGAATTTGGATTGTGATTAAATATTTGACACAGCATAGGTTTCTGACACAGAATGAATGTGGTCTAAGAACTTAAAAATTTTAAATTGGACATTCACCTATTATGGTCCAATATCCAAAATCTAAATACATGGTTAGATTCAGCATATCAAAGAACCCCAAGAATTCAATTTTTGATGAAATCAAACAAAGTTTAATTTTGGACCCTTTTGACCTCAATGTGGACAAAGTTGATAACGGGGCCCAAAAATCAAAAATCAAAATACATGGTTAGATTCAGCATATCAAAGAACCCCATATATTCAATTTTTGTTGAAATCAAACAAAGTTTAATTTTGGACCCTGATTTGGACCAACTTGAAAACTGGGCCCATAATCAAAAATCTAAATACATGTTTAGATTCAGCATATCAAAGAACCCTAAGAATTCAATTTTTGTTAAAATCAAACTAAGTTTAATTTTGGACCCTTTGGACCCTTTGGACCTTAATGTAGACCAATTTGAAAACGGAACCAAAAATTAAGAATCTAAATACACGGTTAGATTCGGCATATCAAAGAACCCCAATAATTCAATTTTTGATGAAATCAAACAAAGTTTAATTTTGGACCCTTTGGACCTCAATGTGGACCAATTTAAAAACAGGGCCCAAAATCCAAAAACTTATTACACTGTTAGATTCAGCATATTAAAGAACCCCAAGAATTCAAGAATAAAACCCCATTGAAATTGGTCAAGAAATAAGCAATTTATACAAAGTATCTTCTTTTGCACAATACTGTGCAATTGAATATTTCTTGCTATTGCGCAATACTGTACAATTGACAATTTCTTGCTATTGCGCAATATTGTGCTATTGGAAATTTCTTGCTATTGCGCAATACTGTGCAATTGAAGATTTCTTGCTATTGTGCAATACTGTGCAATTGAAGATTTCTTGCTATTATGCAATACTGTGCAATTGAAAATTTCTTGCTATTGCACAATACTTATTATATAATAATTTACACATCCTGTTTGGTGTGTATTTCCTACCAATCATTATTATTTGCTTTTAAATATAAATCAGAAATAACCAACTTAAAATGGAAAATTTTAAAAGAAAAAAAAAGAAAAAAAAGGAAGAAAAAAAAAATCCCCTCCCCCCAAATTTTTTGAACCCCCTTATGATTCATCACCCCCAAACTCAATCCCAGCCTTCCCTTTGTGGTATGGTACCTTGCAATACAATTTCAGAGAGATCCATACATTTGAACACAAGTTATTGTCTGGAAACTAGAAAAATGCTTACTTTTGGCCCCTTTTTGGCCGCTTATTCCTAAACTTTTGAGGCAATTACCCCCAAACTCAATTCCAGCTTTCTCTTTGTGATATGGAACCTTGTAGTACAATTTCATAAAGATCCATACACTTACACACAAGTTTTGTCATGAAACTAGAAAAATGCTTGTTTTTTGCCCCTTTTTTGCCCCTAATTCCTAAAATTTGGAGGCTATTACCCCCAAAATCAATCCCAGCATTCCCTTTGTGATATGGAACCTTGTGGTACAATGTCAGAGAGATCCATACACTTACACACAAGTTATGTCTGGAAGTTACAAAAATGCTTATTTTTTGCCCCTTTTTGGCCCCTAATTCCTTCACTGTGGGTACCATAACCCCCAAAATCAATCCCCACCTTCCTTTAGTAGTATTGAACCTTATGGTAAAATTTCATAGAGATCCATTCACTTAAACTAAAGTTAGAGTGCGAAAACTAATGTGTCTTCGCACGATGATGTTGACGACGATGCCAACGTCATACCAATATACAACCACAAAATTTTTTTGCGGTCGTATAAAAAATCAAAATCCTGTTGACATGCACACCTCTATTATGTGTAGAAACATCCTACAAAATATCAAAGCTGTAGCTCAAAAAGTGTAGGATAAGATAGCTAGACAAAACATGTATCTATATCCAGAAAGAGGAACAGGGGTAAATTAATATCCCCCCCGACATTATGTAGCAGGGGCATAAAACAGCTATTTTCCAAAATTAAGACCCAATATGAAAACAAGAAAAACTTACCACAATACAGATCTTGCAGTTGCCAGTTTGAACAATGCATGATTTTTTTCTTTTTAGCCACATCAAAATGAACAAAGCCCCACAAAAAGTACAAGAGTAATAATTTTAAAGTGTAAAATTTCAAAAGTTTAAGAAGGCAAATACATAAAATGGGAATATCAAAACCAATAAACTGTTGAAACAGAGCTTTGTCTCGCCTGTTGGCACAAAATTCAGAAAAAGACAATCTAATGGACAGCATCATTGCTTATTAATTTAAAGTCGCTGGACCATGATCTAGTGGGCAGGGCCTCGAAATGGTCGATAAACTGAGATGAACAGACAGTAATGTAACTTTATAGAATATATCGTTGTCTGTTTTAGGCAGTTCCTATCTATCTAACTTTAGCATTTTACATTGAAAATTGCTAATTAATTCAAAGTCACTGGACCATGTCCTAGGGTGCAACTTTAAATTAAATATCAATGATCTATCACAAGTAGTCCCTATCAAACTAACTTAAGCAGAATGGTTGATATACAACAACAATCAACAACGACTGGATTATAGGCACCTGACTTGGGACAGGCACATACAGATTGTGTCAGGGTTAAACATGATGGGGTGCTTTCTGTCAAATGGTTTCAGTGGAGTTGCGTTCACAAGGTGTCATTGTTACAATACTTAAAAGAAATGGTCAAAGTCCCATTACTCCTGTAAATATTGTCAAATCAAACAGATAATACAGCACAGTGAAGAGAATATGACGACAAATAATCCTACAAAGTATGAAGTATTTCTGTATTTGGTGTCTAAGAACTGATGTATTTTAGATGGACAGAAGGACTGAGACAATTACCATATATATATCAAACAAAGGATGCTCTGGGACAATAAAGTCCTGTAAATTCAAAAACATTTGTGATGTTTTTGTTAATGCCAAAAATGTAACAGTATCAGGTTAACAGTAATAAAAACTCGCCCTCATAATTTCAGTAGTGATTTTCCTTCTTAAATTTTTTGCAATCACATTTAAATCTAGATTTCGCATTTTTGCCAGAGATCAAGGATTAACAATAATAAATGCAGATATTTATTTCTAAATTTACAGTAATCATATCATATTATTGTACACATTAGACAATAAAATTAACATAGCTTTTTCATAACTTATTATTTCTAGTATTTCATTTTTTTCAATATTATTTCAAAATTCTTAAAGCATTTTGATTACCTGTTTCTGAGGAGATCTGTAATGATAAACAGATTCATGCATATTCGTTTCTTGGGGGAACCAGTATTCAACTGATAAGTTCATTCCAAGAGGATCTTTTCCATATATGTGTCCTATCTGTGAATAAAAAAATACTGACCAATAAAGCATACACATATTCTTGTTTTGTGTAAACTACAGTCCTAATTTTATATATAACAACTTTAAATATGTTTAAAGAAGCATGTTCAAGAGATATATAGCCTTTCTCTTTTTTGCTAATATTGCTATTCAAGAGATATATAGGGTTTCCCTTTTTTTTTCAATTTTGCTATTTAAGTGATATATAGCTGTTCTCTGCTCTTTGGTCGGGTTGTTGTCTCTTTGACACATTCCCCATTTCCATTCTCAATTTTATTTCTCTTTTTTTTAATATTGCTATTCAAAATAATTCACAAGTTTGCACCCATGCTGTGTAAACGAGGAATAAAATTGTGTGTACAGTATAGAGTTATACAACAGGAACATAGATTACAATATAAAGTGTATTTCAAGCTGTTGTGTTTCTGAAAATTAAGGAATAGGCATTGAACTGGATTTCGATAGGCAAACATGGTGTCATTGTGGCGCGAAAAGCAAAAAAATGGCCAAAGTCCATAACTTTTATACAAATGGTAAATAAACAATCATGTTGCTATTAAAGTAAGAAAGACATTAATTTTTCCAATGGTAAAGCATAAGAGCAAGGAAACCATTTAAAAAAAAATTGATATCTAAAATGCATGGATTAACTTCATATGAAGGCATATCTAAAGGTGACCGTGATTCAAGTCTCAAAAAAGGGAATACAATGAACTTGGCACAAATATTTTGAAACGGAAGACAAAAAAATTGATGCTGGTAGTTTAACTGGCAATAATTTTTTTACGACCTGAGCAATCTCTGATTCCTATCTGGACTCTGAACTAACTAGTCTATCCTCTTTTCCCGAAGTGCCCTGTGCTTTTCTGAGTAGCAACAAGTGCAAATTTGGTTTAACTTAGCTTGGGATCAAACACACTCACAAACTTGAGGCATTCATGCTACTACAACCAGCCAGAAAGAAACAGAAATATTTTGCAACATGCAATACAGTTTACTCATGATCAGTTTAATTGAGTATGTTGAAAATAGTTTGGTCTTTTTGATATCCAAATGGACAAACATTTCTTCAAACAATCCATGAAACAATTGTCTAGTCATCTACTTTAACTTCACCTATCTGATTTTTCTTTTGACAGGTCTATTTTGTCCATATCAATGATCAAAATGTTCCAAGTCTCAAATGGCCAGGTTGCAATATTTGTGACTGATCAATGTAGAATGTTTACAATGTATTTGCATTTACATGAAGGTTGTAAATTTTGCTCCCAAAGTTCCGAAGTCCAGAACAATGTGAAAAATTCTTCGAAAACATTCCATTATAGCAGGTGCACACTTCAACATGTGTACAATTTTTTCTGTGAAGTCTTTTGGATCTTGGTTGAAAACTGTAGAAGTTGAAAATGAAAACTTGTACCCTCTTTCATAAATTTTGCTGAAAAACAACTAAGTTCCAAAGTCTGGATAAATGAAAAAAATAAATCCTCAAATAATTCCATAACAGCAGGTGCACTTCAATATGCGCAATCTTCTGTGAAGTTTCAGGGATCTGGAGTTAGTTTCACAAAAAAACTTATGACTAAGATTGATTGTAAGTCATGAACAATTCAGTATACTTACGATCAATCTTAGTCGCAATTTTTTTTTGTGAAACTGACTCCAGATCCCTGAAAACTGTAGGGGGAGTTGATAACACAAAAATTGTACCCTCTTTCATAAATTTTGCTGGATAAATGAGAAAATGTTCCTCAAACAATTCCATAATAGCAAGTGCACAACTTCAACATAGGTCAAGATGCGCAATTCATATAAGGTAGGCCACAATGGTAGCCTTTTCTTACATTCTTCTGTTAATATCCTAAACTTGGTGATGTATGATGGCTCTTTTCAAAACTGAGACATTTTCACAGATGTGGTTAAATTTTTGGGTTTGAAGTGGAATTAAATTTTTCACAACTTGGGAAACCTTAAAAGGCCCCATGTGATATGGCTACAGCAAGTAAAAAGTCCCTATTTTCACACAGTTAAATTCTCTGCAAATTCAGTTCTTTACAAACATTTAATAACTCTAAAGTTTTTACATCTTTATTGTACAGTCTTCTGCTCTTTGAAAAAGCACAAAGCTCAGTCAAATACTTAAAATAGCATCATACCCAATATCATTTCATACAGGTTTTTTTATTTCTATTTGTAGTTGAGTTCTTCAGTTTGAGGCTAATTTGGGATATTGGACCTTATGTGCAATCTTCCTGTGAAATTTCAGGAATCTAGGTTGAAAGCTGTGGGAAATTTACTGAATTTTATAGGGTTGCAGGTAATAAACAAGAGTGTACATGCTGAAATGTCTGCCTTCTTTACTATTCATGATTTATTTTATGTTAATAGTCACAAAATATACTCTGTCCCTTCATAATTTATTAAAACAATATTGTATAAATTACATAAATGTACTCATTTTTATGAAGAAATTTTGAATTTCATGGAGAATGATGCTACATTAATTTCAGTTATGGCTATTTTTTGGGGTAAGATTTTGAACTCCATGCCCCTAAAAAAGGACACATAAGTATTATAAATATATTTAGTTGTGAATGCTACTACCATTTCTGACATTACAATCATTATTTATGTTTTACCAAAAATAGAAGATACTCAAATCCATGGCTTGCTGATACAACATCAGATTCTTCCACTAAAGTCTGAGATGCAGATAACCTGGCTACTTCATCACTTCTATTTCTTAATTCTTTTACCTTAAATGAAATATTGTCAATATGTGGTTATGGGTTATCTTTCAATCAATAAGTACCAGTAGATAAAATCTCATCTCACTGGAAGAAACATTTGAATTTCTATATAACAAAAATAAATGGAAAATGTGTCCATGGGATGCCCCTACTTGCATTCAACATAATAAAGGGACATAACTCAAAAACAATAAAAGTGACGCTACCCAAATTTTTACTAGATCTGAGTTTTGTGGTAATAAGTATTGTGTATAGGTTTCATAATGTTTGGTTGGGGCAAACTTAAGTTACAGAACGGAAACGAAAATTTTTTGCAATTTTTCGATTTATAAAGGGGCATAACTCGATAATGGTTAAAGTGACGCCACCAAAATTCAACTTGATCTGTGTTTTGTGGTAATGAGCATTGTGTATAAGTTTCATAACATTTGGTTGAGGCAACTTAAGTTAGAGAACGGAAACTAAACATTTTGCATTTTTTTTTCCATTTATAAAGGGGCATAACTCGAGAATGGTTAAAGTGACCCCACCAAAATTCAAACATGATCTGTGTTTTGTGGTAATAAGCATTGTGTATAAGTTTCATAACATTTGGTAGAGAAAAACTTAAGTTAGAGAACGGAAACTAAAAATTTTGGAATTTTTCCATTAGACCATGCATTTTGTCTAAAAGGTATTTTTTTCTGTTTATTTCAGTAGAAGACAGAGCTTCAATTAAATGTTATGAGACCCAAAACTTACATTTTGAAAACAGAAGTCATAAATTGTCTCTTGGAGCTAATTTTTGTTGTTAAATTTTGGTGGTTAGTTTGAACCATATAGAATTGTATTAAAATAATATAAATAAATAGTAATGAGAGAAAGCAGTGGTGGATTCCTCTGGCATTAAACATTTTTCTGATGTAAGATTGAACAGTGGGATTTTTTTAAATGTGTCCTTATTTTACAAATGCAGTCTTAACAATTGTGGTCTGATGTCATATGGGGAATGTCATATGGGGAATAAAGTGGAGGATTATGATTACATTCCAATCTAACTTTTCTAAAAGGAACAAATCAAGGCTCTAATTTTCAAAGAGGACAAAAAAAAGAACTGATTAAAGAATTCAGTTTCAATTTTGTACTTTTGTTAAGTGAGGTTACAAATCCATTTTAGATACCTCTAAACATTAGTGACTGGAAAATGTAAACTTGACGACATTTACTTCATAATCTATCAACAATTACTAACTTAAAAGATTTTTTTACCTTAAGTGGCATAAAGAAAATAAAGTCTGTAATTAGTCCATGTATTTTCCTTAGATAAAATTCCTGAAAAGAAACAGAATTTAACATAAGTTCACTAATTATAAGTACTTCTAAACAAGAGTGCACATGCTGAAAAGTCTCACTTGCTTTACTGATCATTGATTTTATGTTGAAAATCTTCAAGATAAAGGTTTCACTACAAGTATCAAATAAACTTAACATTTTTAAAGATCCATGACGATGAGGTCAAGGTCAGGTAATCCTGTCAGACAGAAATGTATACCTTACAATTATTTCACCAGATATAGCTGACCTATTGCTATTAGTACATCAAAAACATAAAATCTTATCATTGACCAATAAACCATGAACATGAGGCCAAGGTCAGATGAAACCTGCCAGACTGACATGTACCCTTTACAATAATTCTACACACCACATGTAGTTGACCTACTTTTTATAGTATCTGAGAAACAATCCTAATAATGTAACTTTAACCTTGATCACTGATCTATGAAATGAGGTCAAGGTCAGGTGAACACTGTCTGAAGGACATGTAGACATTGCAAGGGACCCATATACCAAATATTGTTATCCTATTACACATAATAATTGAGATTAAATTGTAATTTTACACGTACATGTAATAATAAAATGCTCCTTTGGGCGCAGCTTGATACGACCGCAGAGGTCAAACCCTGAACAGTTGGGGCAAGTATGGACACAACATTCAAGCTTGATACAGCACTGAATTTGGATTGTGATTAAATATTTGACACAGCATAGGTTTCTGACACAGAATGAATGTGGTCTAAGAACTTAAAAATTTTTAATTTACCTATTCAAAACATATCATTATTATTTGCTTTTATATAAAAATCAGAAATAACCAATTTAAAATGGAAAATTTTAAAGAAAAAATTAGAAAAAAAGGAAAAAAAAATCCCCCCCCCCCCCAAATTTTTTGAACCCCTTATGATTCATCACCCCCCAAACTCAATCCCAGCCTTCCCTTTGTGGTATGGTACCTTGCAGTACAATTTCATAAAGATCCATACACTTACACACAAGTTTTGTCATGAAACTAGAAAAATGCTTGTTTTTGCCCCATTTTTGGCCCCTAATTCCTAAAATTTTGAGGCAATTACCCCCAAAATCAATCCCAGCATTCCCCTTGTGATATGGAACCTTGTGGTACAATGTCAGAGAGATCTATACACTAACACACAAGTTATGTCTGGAAGTTACAAAAATGCTTGTTTTTGGCCCCTTTTTGGCCCCTAATTCCTTAACTGTTGGTACCATAACCCCCAAAATCGATCCTAACCTTCCTTTTGTGGTATTGAACTTTATGGTTAAATTTCATAGAGATCCATTCACTTAAACTAAAGTTAGAGTGCGAAAACCAATGTGTCTTTGAACGATGACGACGACGCTGACGAGGACGACGACGCCAACATCGTACCAATATACGACCGCAAAATTTCTTTGTGGATGTATAAAAATTATTTGGGAAAACTCTTGACTTTTCATCTTAATATGTTCATAATCACATAAAATATGTATTCACCAAGTTTTATCTATATATATGAACACTAACTAGACATCATTGAGATGGGAGCCATCTCTGTGGGCCCCGCTGTAAATAACGTGTGGTAGGAAATGGGGTTGTCAACTGAAACCAAAGTTTTTGACCTTGACCTTTGACCTAGGAAGTTTTATATACATTGTGACACACCCTCTGGTGTTGGTTAATATACATGTCAAGTATAAACTTTGAAATCATAACGGTTCTCTAGATATAATAGAGAGGACACAATTTGTTACAGACGGAAGGACGGACAGACTGATCACTATAGGGCGACCCGCCACTAGGCAGTGCCCTAAAGGAGAAAATTGAAAATTATCAATTTCATTATTAGAATGACTATTTCAGGAGTGGAATTAATGTCATTTAAAGTCTTGTTCCCTTATCAATTTTTAACAACATTTAAAGCATGTCAATGACTGTTTTGCAAAGCTAATATTAAACCATCTTTTAAAGGGGCACTAGCTTCGAGATATATACGACATTTAAATTATGATATTTTTTTGTTCAATCGTTAATGAAAGTGAAATAGTGAAATAATAATTCGCTATTACCAGCCAATATGGTTCAATTTTGTCAAAATAAGCTAAGAAACATCAATGATGAATTATTCACTTGCAAGTGAATAATTCGACCTCATTGAATCCGTATTCATGTGAACTTCAATTTAACCCCTTAGCTAGAGATGGATTATGCATGATTGATGCGTGTTAGGCGATTAAAAGAAAAAAATGTCAACATTGAAAATGAAACAAAGGTAAATTATTTGATTGACTGATTCGATCCAAAAAACAAATCATTCTTATACAGGTTAAATCGAAAATCAACTTACTTTTTAACCTTGAAATTGAAATCATACAGACATAAACAAATCTATTTGCACGAAGTCCATATATCTATTTATATTTATGTTTATGTTTATATCATGTTATGTGACCGTGCGGTTGTTTTCCTGGTCATCCCGATAGTTAATTAGATGGCGTCTAGACTAAAATACACACCAAACGAAGCTACATATTATCAACCCTATGCCCTGTAAATTGTTTATTTTAGACTTTTTATAATTTGGATAAATGTTTTACATTGTTATAAATCTAATATGAGAATATGAAAATATATAACTGATACTATGATGACAATATATGAAGGTTTTCTGACCTTTTAATTCTAGCAAACATTTCTCCCATTAGGCCTGTGTTATTACATACAATATGTGTATTATTCTCTGACAATACCTCATGAAAGAGTGGTTAAATTCATGGTAAAAGAGGGCATTCTTTAAATCTATTTTTGTTATCTTCACCTGAGTGCATTTTAGCCTCTAGGGTTCACTGTTACAGGTGTTAATATGGATTTTTAATATAGAAATGTGAGTTTAGTACACACAGATTAAAAAGTTTTTTAATTTTCTCCCGTTTTTTGGGAGGATGGCAATTACATATAAATCACCATGGAATATTTCATTATCTTTTGCAAAAAAATTATGACATTAAACATGTTTTTCACATACCTAATCCATGGATAAGAAGGTCATATTAACAATATAAAAGATTGGATTAAAATTAATTGATTAATTTAAAAAAACAAGTTACTTTCTTTGAAAAAAGAAAAGCAATATGTGAACCTGAGATCACTGACTGGTCACCAAAAAATTGTTGTTGGATTTGTTTTGCTTTTGATTTGAAATAATTGACTGTGAATAGAATAAGGTAATGATGATGCTAAAACACCTTTATTGAAAATATGTAATTGTGCAGATTCTTGCACAATAAAATCGCTGTTGGATTTTTGGTGTAAATAGAAAAGTGTATACAGCTACCATTTGAAATAACCTTTTAAGGCTTGACTATATTATTTATAACTTGGGAGTGTAAATAATTTTTTCTTCATATTTAATACAAAGTTTTAATCATATTGCACAGACCAATTGCAATATAAATTTTAACACTCAAGTTTGCTTTATTGAATACATTTATTTTATCTTTCATATCTTCATATTTTGTTTCCTGGATGCCTTCAATTATTCTTATACTCATTATTGAAACTATTTGTACTCATGGTAAAGGTGGTATAGAGAAATTGCAAGTCCAATTTTCATGTGAAATGTGACTCTGTGGCATGCAACTTATAATATAATAAGATTTCATATTTTGTTCTTGAGAGTAACACACCAGCAGCTGGTTGTACGAACGTGTCATTAGTCTAATGAGTCATTAAGTCTTCATTAGCCTAATGCATCATAAAGGCTTAATGAGGACTTAATGACCCATTAGGCTAATGCCACTTTCATACAACCGTCTGCAGCTTCATAAGGACCACTTATATACTGACAATTAATTTGGTTTCATAAAACATCTCAAATTTTAAGGAATTTTCCTGAAATTACTTTAATCAATCAAAATTGTCTACAGGAAAAACGTAATTTTGAAGAATGTCTTGTTTTTAGAAGTTTTATAGATACCTGTAAATATGCTCTCTCAAAAAAAAATTTAATAACATAAAATATACAAAAAGATATTTTGTAAAAGTCAATAAACTCATCATAGATACCAGTTAAAAATTCTGTACGCCAGTCGTGAGTTTCGTCTACAAAAGGACTCATCAGTGATGGTCGAAGTTAAAAAGGCCAAATATATGTGATCTCTTTCACTGCTCATTCAAGCACTAAGGTGGGGGAAAAAAATAATTCTGAAATGAACTGGAAATTATATTGACGTGAATAAAATCTGTGGTCTGTATTTTGCATTCAAAATCTGTGTAAAAAATGGAAAATCTGTAGTGGTAAACACCTCTATGGAAAAGTTTGCGACAATTGGTAACACAGGTTTTGATTGGCCAATAGAAAATGATTAAAACACCGAAATACAGATAAAATGAATAAAAAATCCAACCCTACAAAAATATTGTGTGGTTCAATGATTTTTCAGTGAATCGTTTCACCACTAGAAGAAGGAACATCAATAATATATAATTTTTCAAATTTACCTCATGATGGAAGTTTTCAACAGCCACCACTGCATTATCAAGAAAGTGGAAAACATTATTATCTGTTGCCATTGAAATGACTATTTCATCTTCTTCACAATATTCATTTACACCTTTAAAAAAAACCCAGATTAGTCCAACTCTACTATTGCATACCAATTATGTGTAGATAGTTTAACTAACTGTATGATTTTTCAACATTCAACTACATTCAAAATTTGATAAAGTTCTTCATTTATCTTATGGTATGTTAGTATCATCTAAATATTCAATTCTAGCTAAGATAAAGCCACTCTTAACAATTTCTTAAAGCTTTAATCATCTCTTTTTTATGCAATGAACAGCAATAATGAAAAACATGTTCTTTATGTGTAAATTTGACCTTGTACTTATGTTGCAATAAATAAAAGTTAAAAGTCTGTGTTTTTGAAACAAGATCTGGTATTATACAGACAGATTAAATGGTGAGAGCTACTTCCTAATATTTCATGGTTTACCTGCTGGTGTTTGGTATTGTGATAACTGTCTCAAAGTCAATCCCCATGAAAGTTGAGCAACACCTTGAAGACCAGGAATGGACCATGTCTGGTCATTTGTTAACTCTTTGTGGACATCAGCTATATATGTTCCATCAGTAATAAGTGGTAATCTTCTAATGTAATCTGTAAGTACACACCACTATCAAATTTGGTCCCTGCTATGAGAACATGTAAGCAAGCACAACAAAATGGATAAAAATCCATTTTAGAACAACAAAACATATCATATCAACAACAGATATGTATTTTTAACATAACAAGATGGCTCTGTTAACTATTGCTCACTTAAAATATTCAACAGTAAGTATTTGGTAAAGGGAAGTTGATGAGCCATCACACAGTATAGCATGCTCACATAAAGCTTGATACCAAATTTCAGGAAGCTTGGATTCATAGTTCCTGAGAAAAATGTGACAAAAATTTTGTACATGGCCCGTATTGGTAAGAATATAATAACTTAATAAGTATTCCGTAAAGAGAAAGTCTAGTGAGTAATTGATATGAATACCAATTACACTGTATGACATGCTCACATGAAGCTTGACACAAATTTCAGGAAGCTTCCTTCTGAAGGATAAAGGAGTGATGATGTTCTTTAAGGTGAGATTCAGTTTTTATTGCATTACAAATATTGTCAACTTGTTGTTAGATTGACATGGATGACAGGATTCTTATTGCATTATGGATAACTTTAACTTGTTTTTAAGTTGACAGGGTCTACAGCTTAATGAAAACCTAGTTGACACAGTAAACAGGTTAATAGGGTCTACAGGTTAATGATAACCTAGTTGACATGGTGAACAGGTTAATAGGGTCTACAGGTTAATGATAACCTAGTTGACATGGTTAACAGGTTAATAGGGTCTACAGGTTAATGATAACCTAGTTGACATGGTTAATAGGTTAATGATAACCTAGTTGACATGGTTAACAGGTTAACATTTAGAATTGATCAATTTTTATTCCAAAAAAAAATTATTAGTGGTTTATGAAATTAAAATATCTAACAGAGAGAAATGCACATAATGCATTTATGCAAAATAGTTTTAAAAAAGAAACAGGAGCACATTATTACCAATAATTAAATAATACATAGAAATTAAATAACTGATTTCTCCAACAAGTTGGCTGAATATTTTTTCTGAAAGAAGAATGCTATAAATACAGTTATTCATAGCAAGGAGTTAATTGGAAAGCTGATGCTGCATGAACTTGAATGGCTGTGGTGGAAAGTGAAGTTGAAAAATTTTCAAAAAATTAAAAGGGGGACAGGTACCAGACTCCATGTCAACCATGTCAACCTTGTCAATCATATCCACCTGTCGACCTTGTCTACTTTGTCAACCATTAGTTTTTAATAGATTGAAAAGATTGAATAAGGTGAAGATTGATGGTCTGTATTCAAAATTATATTTGGCGTCCGAATTTTATATTTTTAACAAAATATTTGATCCATATACTCCACATAAGGCTAATTTTCTTATTTTTACATAATAATTTGGGTGACACTTGCTGTTTCACAATTGCTCTGTTGTTTGACAGGCACACTTGGGTTTTTCATCTTCACATTGAAGAACTTCATACCTTGACATTATTAATAATATTAAACAAAATTTACTTTTCATTTGATTTTTATTCAAAAAGTGGAGAAAATATAGAAAAATTATTTATCCCTATATGACTATAGCATGGATGAATATCACAGTATCTAAGGCTAATGAAAGTGAAGCATGAAAAAAATGATGACCTACTTTTACCTGGTTGATTACCTATCAATTGAAATTTACTATTCATGAAACATCTTTGATGATAATATTTGTTTTCAAGAGATTGTATATAATAGATTCACGAGTTTGATTTAGAATAATGTGCACGGTTAGGGTGACATGTCTACCTGTGAACTAGCATGTTAATATTCTGATTGAGCATGTCTCCTCTACAACAGGATTCATATTCACATCAGATTAATATATTCTTGTCATGATATGCCTTTAATACTAGCCACTGGAAGACAGACTAAACCAAGCAATTTCAATCTATTGTTCCACAGATATATTGTTTATCATATTTATGTAAATCTATCTATTCATTAAAACTGTAACACAAAATACTACCTAAATAGACATGTTTGACCCAACCATAAGATAATTTGGAAATGAAACTTTTTGTTATCTTATAATGAGCTAGGTGTTTACCTGAATTATTGTCATCTTCTAGAACACTGACATCAAAACAATACAACAAGGTTATGATTAGGCAGAGAGTAACTAAATCCAATGTCCCATCAGCAATACAACTTCCATTTTGTTTTAGGGAGGCTATCAAACGTAGGGTATCCTCTTTCTCTAAAGGACGTTGTGAGGACAAACAAAATAAACAATCTGCCAGAATAAGTTTGATCTCACTGTAAATATCTTGTAGCTGTAATAAATAATATTAACAGATGAAGAATCAATGTAAGGTTCATAAAATATCAGTTTCCATGTACTTTAAATATGTTGTCATCAATATTAATTTCTTAAATTGTACAAGAAGCTAACACTTACTGCTATTCTAAGCTCCACAATGTTATGTCTTGCCTGTTTTACTCATCAATTGAATGAAATGTCTTGCCTGCTTTACTCATCAATTGAATGAAATGTCTTGCCTGCTTTACTCATCAATTGAATGAAATGTCTTGCCTGCTTTACTCATCAATTGAATGAAATGTCTTACCTGCTTTACTCATCAATTGAATGAAATGTCTTACCTGCTTTACTCATCAATTGAATGAAATGTCTTGCCTGCTTTACTCATCAATTGAATGAAATGTCTTACCTACTTTACTCATCAATTGAATTTATGTTGAAAGTATTTAAAGATAAAGGTTTACTACAAGTATCACACAAATTTAACATTTTTAATGATCTATGTAAATTATATAATTTGTATAAAGCTATTTTCTATTTTCAAGGGCCACAACTTCTGCAATATTCACAAAACCATAATGAAACTTGTTCTGGTGAAACACCACAGATTGGGGCACGGTCAGAAAGCACATACCAGAAAGTAGTACATATTAAAGACAAAATAGTACCTACCTGGTAAGCAGGTGTGTAACTTTTAAAATATGTAGAATATTTTGGTAATTTTGGTATCAAATGCAAGTTGAATGACTGGTGATCATTGAAGAACACTTTTGACTACAAATTCAGAATAATAAAAAAAGATCATGAAATTTAAAGAGAGGGGTATATTTTGCCTGTTTCTCAGATCTGAAGTACCTGTTTTGGGAACCAGAATGCTCTTATCTGCAATTTAAGGTATGTTGATTTTTACAGTAAAATACAAGCTAAATTATATATATAATTAGTGCTGTGACATGAAATGACTGTCACTTTATTTGAACTTAAGACAAAAGAGCTATGAATGCTTGAAATTGAAGAATTAAACATAGAAAGCAATGGGACCAATAATAAGTGGTGTGCCTCCTTCATAATCTGTAACTTCATAGGATATAGATATAGGAAGATGTGGTATGAGTGCCAATGAGACAATACATGTATCAAACATCCAATTTTGGCTTCTCTGCTATATCACAAAAGAAACTATCAGTGTTAAAGTGTAATGTTGACTGCAAAAAATTCAAGTTTATTTATCAGTAAAATCCACCACTGACCAGGAAAGTTCATGATTTGAGACAGGCACATAAATATGTGGCTGGGTAAACTAATTTTTTTAAATCTTTACAACACCCACCTTTCTTCTTTAATTTCAATTAGAGGACTCACAAAAGTAAATGAAAATAAATGTGGATTGTGTCCACATGTGGACACAGATGATGCCCCCGCTTGCATATCATATAGATATAAAGGGATATACCTGAAGAACGGTAAAATTGACGCTACCCAAATTTGAACTTGATCTGAGTTTTGTGGTAATAAGCATTGTGTGTAAGTCTCATAACATTTGGTTAAGGCTAACTTAAGAAGAGAACAGAAACTAAAAATTCAGCAATTTTTCTATTTGTAAACACGCATAACTCTAGAACGGTTGTGTATAAGTTTTATAACATTTGGTTGAGACAAACTAAAGTTAGAGAATGGAAACGAAAAATTCAGCAATTTTTATGTTTATAAAGGGACATAACTCAAGAATGGTAAAAGTAATGCCACCAAATTTCATACTTAATCTGTATTATGTAGTAATAAGGATTGTGTGTAAGTTTCATAACATTTGGTTGAGGCAAACTAAAGTTAGAGAATGGAAACTAAAAATTTTGCAATCTTTCGATTTATAAAGGGGCATAACACAATAATGGTTAAAGTGACACTATCCAAATTCAATTTGATCTGTGTTTTATCAGTGGAAGGCAAAATTAAACATTGCATTGTATAAAGCATTGATTGTAGTTGATTCAACTATAATCAAGGACAAAGGAAGATAACTCCAATTTTAATAAGAATTACTTGAATAACGACATTGATATTTTTAGAAATTACATTTAGTTAAGACAAACTCAAGTTAGAGAACGGAAACGAAAAATTCAGCAATTTTTTCATTTGTAAAGGGGCATAACCCTAGAACAGTAATCAAAGTGCTTGTAAGCACTGAATGGTAAAGATTGCTTTAATTTATCAGTAGGAAGTAAAATTGAATATTGCATTGTATAAAGCATTGGTTGTAGTTGATTCAACAACCATTATGCAGAAAGAAAGACAACTCCAGTTATCAAAGAAGACTTTAAAATATTTTTGGAAATGAAGGGTAAAAATTGCTTTAATTTATCAGTGGAAGGCAAAATTAAACATTGCATTGTATAAAGCATTGATTGTAGTTGATTCAACTATAATCATGGACAAAGGAAGATAACTCAAATTTAAAATATTTAGAAAAAAAAAAAAAAAATTTAACAATTATTCCATTTGTAAAGGGCATAACTCTAGAACAGTAAAAGTGACGCCACCAAAATTCAAACTTGATCTGTATTTAGTGGTAATAAGCATTGTGTATAAGTTTCATAACATTTGGTTGAGGCAAACTAAAGTTAGAGAACGGAAACCAACTTTGGGACGGACGGACGGACGGACAGATGGACATACAGACGGACAAGGGTAAAACTTAATGCCCCCTCCGCTACGGCGGGGGCATAAAAAATACAATAAAAGAACCCATGCACATATTTTTACTGTTTAAGGGCAATAATTCCAAAATATTTAATTTTGGTATATCTGAACTTTTTCATAAATATCTTACAACAAATGAAGACATGAAATTTTCTTTATAATTTTCATTCCAAAGGGGCATTACTCCTTTAAAAATAGTTGATTGGCAGTGATTTTATAACTCATCAAAGAAAACGTTGATATAATATAACCCTTTGATAAAAATCTCATATAAATCTGGCTAAAATCCTACATGTGAAAGCTCTTACAAGATAGGACTCCTGGTATTTCTATATCCCCTGAACAATGTTGCAGCAGGGGACAAAAATCATAACAGAAAAGTAATTCACTCTATATAAGGAGAAATAATTCTTTCATGCCATGCTTTATGCTCATTTTAACATGGGTAGGCATTATATTTGTCAATATCTTTATACTGAGCGTTAGCGAGGTGTAAAATATTGACAAATATAATGCCTACCCATGTTAAAATTGCATAAAGCATGGCATGATAGAATTATTTCGATTCTGACAGGAATATTTACAACTTTTGTACTTCAAAGCAGACCTATAATACACATTCAAAAGGCAACCATTTTGATTTGATGAACCAAAAACATTATAAAAAATCAATAGCTGAAGGATAAAAAAATTACAATATATACGTAAACTTACTTTTAGAATGATTTTATTTAAATTTTCTAGCGGGCAACACCAACAAAACTGTCCATTTCAACCTCCGGCGTTGTTCAAAATACAACTGACGTTGCAATTTCAATTGTGACATCAATCACGTGTAGCCCATGTATTATTGTAATTAGAACATGGCTTTGTTTCCAAAGCGAAAGAAGGACGTCATATTAGAATAGATAACAAAATGAGATCAGATTTGCATCAGATTTTTTCTGACATCACTTTTCCACTTAACCCAAATTTTCCAAGTTAAAAAGGGCACAACTATATAATGGTTAATGACTCACTGCCCAAATTCTAAACTCTGTGTTTTGTGGTTCTTAGCAGTGTGTATGAGTTTCATTAAATTTGGCTGAGGAAAACTAAGTTTAAAAGTGCAGAAAAGAAAATGGGACGAACTGAAAGACATTCAATGGTAACACTTAATGCCCCTTCGCCTAGCGGTTGAGGCATAAAACTGGTTTAATTGCATGAGATGAATCCACTAACATAAAGCTACTGATCAAATAGTATTTGTCAGATCTTTAGATTCTGTTTTTCATATCAACTTCTTACCTGTTTTTTATGCTTGGGAGGCCCAACAGCTCGAGCAGATTGTAATTTGTTTAGCTGTTTATTCCAATCCATCTCTGTTAATAAATCTAAAACAAAAGCATGGTATATTTACTGTGACAACATATTTTTTTTTTTTAATTTGAAATTTGGTAAAAGTACTTCAGCACAGAAGATGATTTTACATGTAACAAGTAAATAATATTTACTGTAGTTCTTACAAGATCAAAGGAAAATATAAATGGAGAATGTGTCCCCATGGACACAGATGATGCCCCCCCCCCCCCCCCCCCGCTTGCATACAACATTATAAAGGGACATAACAAAGCATTGTGTATAAGTTTCATAACATTTGGTTGAGGCAACTTAAGTTAAGAGAACGGAAACTAAAAATTTTGCATTTTTTTCCATTTATAAAGGGGCATAACTAGAGAATGGTTAAAGTGACCCCACCAAAATTCAAACTTGATCTTTATTTTGTGGTAATAAGCATTGTGTGTAAGTTTCATAACATTTGGTTGAGGCAAACTTAAGTTAGAGAACGGAAACTAAAAATTTTGCAATTTTTCCATTTATAAAGGGGCATAACTCTAGAACGGTTAAAGTGACGCCACCAAAATTCAAACTTGATCTGTGTTTTGTGGTAATAAGCATTGTGTATAAGTTTCATAACATTTGGGTGAGGCAAACTAAAGTTAGAGAACAAAAACCAATTTTGGGACGTACGAACAGACGGACAAGGGTAAAACTTACTGCCCTCTCCGCTACGGCGGCAGCATAAAAACTGCAAAATTTTCTTAAAATTACCATATTAGTGGCAGCAACCCAACAATGGGTTGTTAGATTCATCCGAAAATTTCAGGGCTGATAGAACTTGACCTAATGAACATTTTTACCCCATGTCAGATTTGCTCTAAATGCTTTAGTTTTTGAGATGTAAGCCAAAAACTGTATTTTACCCCTATGTTCTATTTTTAGCCATGGCGGCCATGGTTTTTGACGAAACAGAATATTAAACAAAAACTTTATTCTAGATACCCTTAGGATCATTCAGCTTAAGTTAGGTTGGAATTGGTTCCGTAGTTTCAGAGGAGAAAATGTTTGAAATAGTTTACACAGTACGGACGACGACAGACGCTAAGTGATGGCAAATGCTCACATTTCCTTTGGAAAGTTGAGCTAAAAATTACTGATATTCTGCAAAATAAATTTGTTACTACATTAGAATGTGAGGAAAATTGTCTTTAGTTAATTTTTCATCAATTTATTTCATTAAAAACATCATATTCCTTTCCAAATCCCTTGTCAAACTGTTTATTTTTGTAAATTTTCCTTTATCCGTCATGGAAATATTTATATGAATCACAGACATTATACAAACCAACTATGAAGTTCCTAAGTCTGGAAAAATGATAAAAAAATCATCAAACAATCCCATAAAAGCATGTTCACATCTTCAACATATGTGCAATCTTCCTGTGATGTTTCCCGGATCTGGGTTCAAAACTGTAAGAAGCTGATTACACAAAACGTGTACCCTCTTTCATAAATATAACAAGAGTGTACATGCTGAAATGTCTCGCCTGATTAACTGACCATTGATTTTATGTTGAAAGTCTTAAAGATAAATGTTCTACTACAAGTATCACATAAACTTTTTTAAAGATCCCTGACAATGAGGTCAAGGTCAGATAAATCCTGACAGACATGTACACCTTACAATTATTCCATACACCAAATATAGTTGACCTATTGGCTATGGTAATTAAAATAAACTGCTTCTGCGAGCGCAGCTGGATACGCCTGCAGAGGTCCAACCCTGAATAGTTGGGGAAAAATGGACACAATATTTGCGCTTGATACAGGTCTGAATTTGGATTGTAATTAAATATTTGACACATAGTAGGTTTCTGACACAGAATAACTGTAGTCAAAGAACTTAGTATTGGTTATATGATTTGAATTTGCCAAAAAAAAATTTTCTTTTTAATTTCTGAAATCTGAAATGAGAAAAAATAGTCCCCCCCCTCAAAATTTCTTTTTTACCCCCCCCCCCCCCCCCCCCCCAATTTTTTTTCACCTCCTCACCCCCTTTTTCCAAAAAAAAAATTCTTTCCCTCAAGATATGGTCATAATCTCAATTCAAAAATGGAGTTTGCAACCATAATTACCCATTTAAATACATCATAAAAGTTTTAAAATAGAAAATGACATACATAATCATGGCTAAAACTAATATTCCTAAATCAGCATTTTTAAATAGTAACTTCTAAAAATAAATTGACAGCTAACCACCTCAAGACAATACAACATTTCTTCATACATAATTTAAAAGCAGTGTAAGGGAGGTTATCCAAACATAACATTGTACTTTTTTTTTAATTGTCCATTAACCAGGAAACCCTTGTTTTTCCCCCTTTTTTGTCCCTAATTCCTAAACGGTTTGAGCCATAACCCCCCAAAGCCAATCCTAACCATCCCTTTGTGGTATGGAAACTTGTGGTATAATTTCAGAGAGATCCATACACCGTTCCACAAGTTATTGTCTGGAAACTATAAAATTGCTTATTTGGGCCCCTTTTTGGCCCCTATTTCCTAAACTGTTAGGACTATAACCCCCAAAATCAATCCCAACCTTCCTTTTGTAAATATAAACCTTGTGTTTAAATTTCAAAGATTTCTATTTACATTTACTAAAGTTATTGTCCGGAAACCAAATGTCTTCGGACGACACTGACGACGACGATGACGATGTGATACCAATATCATCGGCAAAAAATTTTGCGGTCATATAAAAACAGACCAAAACACAAAAACATTGACCAATGAACCATGAAAATGAGGTCAAGGTCAGATAATACCTGCCAGACAGATATGTACACCTTACAATCATTCCATGCACCAAAAATAGTTGACCTACTGCTTATAGTATTTGAAAAACAGACCAAAACATGTAACTTAACATTGTCCAATGAACCAAGAAAATTAGGTCAAGGTCAGATGAAACCTGCCAGACTTGACATAAACCTTTGACAATCATTCCTTACACCACATATAGTTGACCTACTGCTTATAGTATCTGAGAAACGGACCTAATCACATACCTTAACCACTGATCCATATAATGAGGTCAAGGTCAGTTGGACTCTATCTGTCGGACATGTTTTTCTCCGACTGTTTATGACGTCTTTACACTAAATCCATTGGAGGTTGGATGTGCTCTGATTGATAATTTAGTCTTAGATGCATGATTTTTTTTTATTAGTTGTTATTGGCTTTGAACTAGCTGTCAGTAACTGCGAGTACTCTCAGATCTGTACTTAGTGTCTTTTTATTGTTGGGATGTAAAAGTACCCGTCCACGTCCACTCTGTATTTTTGTTAGATGTATTTCTATTTGTATCCATTTGATGATTTAAGCCTTTTCAACTGATTTTTATAGTTTGTTCTTATGTTGTACTGTTACACCACTGTCCCAGATTAAGGGAGGGTTGGCACCTTCAAACTAGTTTAACCCCGCCACATTCTGTATGTGCCTGTCCAAAGTCAGGAGCCTGTAATTCAGTGGTTGTCGTTTGTTGCTGTGTTACATATTTGTTTTTCATTCATTATTTTGTACATAAATTAGGCCGTTAGTTTTCTTGTTTGAATTGTTTTACATTTGTCATTACGGGGCCTTTTAAAGCTGACTATACAGTATGGGCTTTGCTCATTGTTGAAGGCCGTACAGTGACCTATAGTTGTTAATTTCTGTGTCATTTGGTCTCTTGTGGAGAGTTGTCTCATTGGTAATCATACCACATCTTCTTTTTATATGTAGACCCTTCAAGGAACCCATATACCAAATACAAATGTATAGTTATCCTATTACTCATTATAAGTGAGAAATTCACATGACAAAAAAAACTATAATTTTTTTCAAGCAGTTGCTGAACCATGAAAATGAGGTCAAGGACAATGGACATATGACAGATGGAAACTTCGTAACATAAAGTATATGCATACAAGGTATGAAGCATCCAGGTATTCTACCTTCTGAAATATAAAGCTTTATACAAATAGCTTACACAGCCGCTGCAGGATAGTAATCCCTATGTCTCGCATACTGTGACTTTCATCATAGGTGAGACAAAAATTACTTAAGTTCCCACTTGTGGAAAAATGGGAAAAAAATCTGTAAACAATCCCATTATGGCAGGTGCACAACTCCAACATATGTTCGATCTTCCTTGTTTCAGGGATCTTGGTTGAAAACTAGGAGGAGTTGATTACCAAACAAATTAAGTACCCTCTTTTCCCCGCCCACCCAAGATCACCATACCATAAGCCTGTTTTGGACTTTGTCCAACCCAGCCAAAAACTATGAAATTTGCTAAAAACAAACATTTCAGTGGCAATAACTCAAAAATGGGTTGTCTGATTTTGATGAAAGTTTAATTGAAATTAGACCATGACCTGCAGACCATTTTTTCCACTGTCAGTTTAGCTATAACTGCTTTAGTTGGGGTTTTTTTTTTCAGATATAAGCCAAAAAATACAGTTTACCATCCTATGTTCTATTTAAAGAAACAGTGTCCATGTTTGTTGTTAGATCAAATCCCTGGATTCATGTATAAACTAGATTTCCTAAGAACAATCAGGTAAGTTATATAAAATGGCTGAGTAGTTTCAGAGAAGATTTTTTTTTTAAAGTTTACAACAAAGGACAACAACAGACCCAAGTGATGGCAATAGCTCACAGTAGAAAATCAGTAGTATTTAAAAGAAAACTGTGAAGTGTATTCTTATAACATTCAGAACAGTCCAAGAGTTTTTCACCTTCATACCTAAAATCTTATTAACAAGTTTATCTTTGATAATCAACTGGTCTGTGTATTGTGTGATCTTATTTGTGAGGTCAGATGAAAGCTCCATTGTCCATGTACGTCCCTCTCTGCACTGTAATAAAGTCCTTAAAGAATTCACTATACTTTTCTGACCATCAAAGTATAACAATACAGCTATTAAGCCCCTTGTTAATCCAGGAAATTCTGATTGTTTACGGTCACCTAAAAACATAAAAAACAGACTGAAAATAATGAATTCATTCAAAACACTTACACTGTTTTAATAGGATTATATAACATTTGAAAACAAAACGTTGGCTAACTTATAACTATATTACTTCCAAATTATCCTTGTATGTTGACAAGAACACAACACCCTGTAACCCAAGCCACTCAATAAAGTCATTAAACAACTTTTTTTTCATGCAGTTGCTGCATTTTGCTATAAATACAGGTTTAATTCACCAGTTTCTACATAAGGAAATGCCTGTAGCAAATCAGGAATACGACAGTTGTTTTCCATACATTTGATGTGTTTGAGCTTTTGATTTTGCCATTTGATAAGGGACTTTCCATTTTGAATTTTCCTTATTTTTGTTATTTTACTTCTTTTTATAAGAATCTTCAAAGCATCAACCCTAGTATTTTCAACACAGATTTGATTTTCATCTAAGTTCACTCTGTACTCAATATTCTTGTTTTTTTCATACTTATATTTGATGTGATTTATACTTTGGATATCTTGCATGGGGGTTATCAATCTGATATGGATGATTATCACTGTAAATTAGCTTATCTGTAATTATCGAAATGTCTTAAATAACGAACAGTAAATTTCTAACTATATTTATACTGTCCTACAGAGCTTATCATCATCAACACTAAGGAAACAGAAAATTTTCAAATAAATCTGTCACTCCAATTATAATTCTGTGATTGATATTAACCACATGCTTTGTTATCTGATAACAGGTGAAAATTATCAAAATACACTTAGTGTAATCAAACTTTATATATATAATTAACCATTTCTGTTCAAAGGGAAATAACTCAATCATATAATAAATATCACTTTTGGCTACTGAAAGGTCTACAACTCAACAACGAGAAAAGCCAAAATAGTGAAAATTGAACTTGACCTTCATTTAGTCACAGGAAACAACATATATAAATTTGAAAAAATTTCATCAAGGCGTATTCATGATATTGAACGGACACTGTTTGGCAGCCGCAAGCCTGCCGTACATCCCCAAATCAATAGCCGATATTTCCTTCAAAAATCCGGTTAAAAATCTGCATACATATATATATGTCAGATATCAGAATGAGAGTTTTTATTATTGCGATACTCATCCAGTTCCATTATTCGCATTAATTGAAACCTCATGATAATTTTTAAATTTACAGTATATACCGGTATGTGATAGCAGTTTTATTTGGTTTATATGAGCAAGTTTTATTTTTTTATTTGTGTTTGGTTTGTTAAAAAATTCCTGCTAGTTTAGATTTGAAAGACCAAACTGGCACTATTGATAATGTTAAATAGTCATTGAAAACAATGGCAGAAACTGATCCAGTGTGAACAAGGTGAGCAAATAGACTGTCATATACACATGTACAGGTACCATCATCTAAATGGTCTGGATGCATACAGTAAAAGTCATATTGATTAGTAAGAATATAAGTAAAAGTTAATGAATCAGTTACTTTAAGAAAAGAGATAAAGTTATCTCTGATATTACATCCTTCCCATTTTGACTTTCTTAAACATATGTTGTCCCAGTTTGGGTCACATCTGTTCTGTGTTTGCATCATGCATCAAAATGAGTTCTGTGAATGTGTAATAACATCATGGACAGTTTTCTTGGAATTTATGCAATTACCTAGGATATATGTAAGAAGCAATTTTGTTATTTTTGAAACAAAAGACAATTTCCTAAAATTACAAAAATAGATAAATTACGCCGCAACAATTTATGGATTAGGACAACAAAAACTCCTTTGCATGAATTGGATTTTTTTAACACTGAAATGGATTGGATTTTTTATAGTTTTTATTGAGTAATCACACAAATATGCAGCTTATCTGGAGCTCTGTGGCCTATATAGTGAGATATACCCCAGATGTGATATTACCAGTACCTGACCTACAGCTGAATGATCACTTCTGTAAATTAATATGATGATAGCTGATCTATAAAATGACCAAACTTCACAGCATCTGATACTTTTATTATTCAGATCTTTATATGTCACTTTTGGTATTCCAAATGAGTGAATGCTTAATAGAGGGTTGACTGTACATGCATAAATATTATATTAAAAGTTATTATCCTGGCTTATAATTTCAAATATTCAGTGAACTTACCGGCCATTAACAGTTCTACAGCAGCTATTTCACTCATATCAAAAAGGTCACTTATAATAAGAGATTCCTCTATAAATTCTCTAGGAAAGGTCTGCTTTATCTGTTCCCCCTTTACTGGAAGGCCATCAATGTTAGACTTTTTAACTGCATCTCTGTACAATGGACTCTTTGGCTAAAATATTCGATGCAATGCAAAGTATTCATAAAATGATAGAGTTTTCCCAAAAAATGTACAAAAGTGTATATATATGTTACAGGCATTTTCTTAATTTAGGCGTTTTGACAAATGACTGAACTTTCAGGCAATTTACAAAATGCCTAACCTTGACAGGCATTATATAAAATGACTAAAAATACCTAGTCATTTTCTAAAATGACTGGAATTTTCAAACAAAACGCAACAAATTGCCTCTTCAGTTTCAGGTAATTTATAGAAAAAGAGTATCATTGAGATATGACCAAAAACATGATATCTTGCAAAGTAAATACCTAATGGTACAGTCAAATTAGGTTTATTCTTCACATGCCAACTCCTGGCTGGGTCAAACCAAAGACTTTAAAATTTGTATTTGCTGCTTCTCCGCCAAGCACGCGGCATTAATGAGTAAGAGCAAATACTGGTCGGCTTATAGTCAAGAGTCGGAATAATGTGTCCAGGTAAGGTGACATGTCTTCCTGTGGACTGTTACCTTGTGAACTAGCACATTAAAAATCTGGCTCAGCATATCGATCTAGTACAAAGCAGGGTAAATATTCATATTACATTAACATGATCTCGTCCTGAATATGCATATTAATTTGCCGCTGGACGTTAAGCAGCCATCCATCATCATCATCATCAAATGCCAACTAGGAAAGTGTGTATGTATGTCAGTGAAACTACTTTAAGTTCGTACTTACTTTGTATTTCAGATAGTAATTGTATGTGTATTATGACTTTCTTGTCATGGCAACAGAAGAACAAATTATTCTTACAATAAAACAAAATCAACAAATAAATTTTTAGAAAATCTAGATTCAAAACAAAAGTGTGGAATATGAAGCAGAGAAAAAGAAGGATGCTGTTTGATTGACATATTGTTGTATGTTAGCGTTCAATGGCAAATATTTTATGCTTATTTAGAATGAGAACAAATTGATTATAAATCAAATAGGTAAGTTTTGAAATGGATTGATCGGGTAAAGGACAAGAATTTTGACTGCGGCTTGAAAAGAAAGTATGTTGGATAGGGATAGATGTTACAGCTTAACGAATTCCCATAGCATTGGTTTCACCATACAAGGTTGTGTTTGGTTGTAAAGTAAAGATAGGAGTATCTTCATCATCACTGCCTCAAGGACATTCTTAGATCTTTATAAGCTCTACGAATTAAGGCGACAGTATACGTAGTATACTAATGCTAGAATAAACAATGACCCAAGAAGAGACAAATGAAGGGACATACACAGGGTAAGATCTCCTGCTATACATGCATCACCCACTATGTGACGAATCTGATTCAGTCTGGTGAATGCTCCAAAAACAAAATGCCTAAATTGAGAAAATGCCTGTAACATATACAGTCAAATTTGTATAATAAAGGTCACCCTAAAGACCAGAGAAAACTTACCTATAAAAAAGATAACCTTTGGTCTAAAATTTAGAATGCATAGGTATTAATAGAGTGACACAATAAAATAAACTGTTATCACAGAGATATGTCTTGCCTTTTTGTACTTTTGATAATGCAAATGTTGAAATTAAAATAGCATAGACTTATCATAAGTCGTTCCCTTTCAACAAACCTAAACAAACATTGACTTGTAAACTATGTAAAAGTTTCAAAATCAATGAACCATGATGAGGGGGTGGGGCTATATAATCCATGGAAACAAGACTTGCAAATGCCAATACATTTGCATACCAAATATCAAAGCACTTAACATTAGCGGTTCATCTTAAACTGATCTAATCACAAACTAATACTTGTAAACTAAGCAAAAGTTTCAAAGTCAATAGACCATGACTGAGGGGGCAGGACCAAATATTCTCCATGGAAATGAGATGTGCTAATGCTTATACAACTGAATACCAATTATCATTGACCTACCACTAACGGTTGAAGTGGATGTACTGCAGATCTAACAAGATGTGTTGAAATGAAATGATAATCAGCATAGCGGAACGAAACATAAACTTGATCTGTAACACATTATGGTTAACTCACATACTAATAAAATGCTTCGCAGAGCGCAGCCTGATACGACCGCAGAGGTCGAACCTTGACCAGTTGGGGCAAGTTTGGACACAATATTCAAGCTTGATACTGTCTGAATTTGGATTGTGATCAAATTTTTGACATAATATAGGTTTCTGACACAAAATAAATGTGGTCAAAGAGCTTAAAAATTTGAAATGGGACATTCATTTTACCTAGAATGGTCTGATATCCAAAATCTAACAACATGGTTAGATTCAGCATATAAAAAAACACCAAAAAATTTAATTTTAGTTGAAATCAATCAAAAGTTTAATTTTGGACCCTTCAAACCTTAATATGGACTAATTTGAAAACAGGGCCCAAAACAAAAAATCTAAATACACAATAAGATTCAGCATATCATACAGCTGCAATCATTCAGTTTTTGATGAAATCAAACAAAGTTTAATTTTGGACCCTTTTGACCTCAATGTAGACCAATTTAAAAATGGGGCCCAATATCCAAAAAAGTAATACAAGGTAAGAACCCCCAAAAATTAAAGACTTTAAATGAATCCCATTGAAATTGGTTAAAAGATTTGTATTTATTTTCAATTGAAGATTTCTTGCTATTGCACAATACTGTGCAATTGAAGATTTCTTGCTATTGCGCAATACTGTGTAATTGAAGATTTCTTGCTATTGCGCAATACTGTGCTATTGTGCCATACTGTGCTATTGCGCAATACTGTGCAATTAAAGATTTCTTGCTTTTGCGCAATACTATGCAATTGATAATTTCTTGCTATTGCCCAATACTGTGAAATTGCGCAATACTGTGCAATTGAAGATTACAAAAACTTTGAAGAAAAAAAATATGAACCCCAAAAAATTGGGGAAAAAAATCCCCCCCCCCCCCCCCCCCCCCCCCCCCCCAGTACAATTTTAGAGAGATCCATACACTTACACACAAGTTATTGTCTGGAAACTAGAAAAAATGCAATGAAGTTTATTAAACTAAAGTTATTGGCAAATTTCCAATGAAATTTATTAAAAATAAAGTTTTTGGCAAATTTCCAATGAAGTTCATTAAACTAAAGTTATTGGCAAATTTCCAATGGAATTTATTAATAATAAAGTTTTTGGCAAATTTCCAATATACATAATTTAAAAGCAGTTTAGGTGAGATAAACAAAAAAGCTCCATCAGCAACATTTTATATTGGCAAATTTCCAATGAAGTTCATTAAACTAAAGTACTTGGCAAATTTCCAATGGAATTTATTAATAATAAAGTTTTTGGCAAATTTCCAATATACATAATTTAAAAGCAGTTTAGGTGAGATAAACAAAAAAGCTCCATCAGCAACATTTTATATTGGCAAATTTCCAATGAAGTTCATTAAACTAAAGTACTTGGCAAATTTCCAATGGAATTTATTAATAATAAAGTTTTTGGCAAATTTCCAATATACATAATTTAAAAGCAGTTTAGGTGAGATAAACAAAAAAGCTCCATCAGCAACATTTTATATTGGCAAATTTCCAATGAAGTTCATTAAACTAAAGTACTTGGCAAATTTCCAATGGAATTTATTAATAGTAAAGTTTTTGGCAAATTTCCAATATACATAATTTAAAAGCAGTTTAGGTGAGATATTCAAATGAGTTTCAATTACCAACCTTACACTGCCTTTTAAATTATGTTTTGTACTTAAGTAATTGTCCATTAACCTGGAAACCCTTTTCCCCCCTTTTTTGCACCTTATTCCTTAACGGTTTGAGCCATAACTCCCAAAGACAATTCTTACCATCCCTTTGTGGTATTCCAATATCCAAAATCTAAATCCATGGTTAGATTCAGCATATCAAAGAACCCCAAGAATTCAATTTTTGATGAAATCAAATAAAGTTCAATTTTGGACCCTTTAAACCTCAATGTGAACCAATTTGATAACCGAGCCCAAATATCAAAAATCTAAATATATGGTTAGATTCAGCATATCGAAGAACCCCTTATATTCAATTTTTGTTGAAATCAAACAAAGTTTAATTTTGGACCCCGATTTGGACCAATTGAATACTGGGCCCATAATAAAACAAGAGTGGACACGCTGAAATGTCTCGCCTTCTTTACTAACTATTGATATTATGTTGATAGTCCTAAATGAAAGCTTTACTACAACTATAACATAAACTTAACATGATCCAAGAAAATGAAGTCAAGGTCATATAAACCCAACGAGAAATACATGTACACCTTACAATCATTCAATACACTAAATATAGTTGACCTATTGCTTATAGTTTCTAAGAAACAGACTTAACCAAGAAAACTAAACATTGACCAATGAATCGTGAAAATGAGGTCAAGGTCAGATGAACCATGCTAGGCAGGCATGTACAGCTAACAATTCTTCCATACAACAAAAATAGTTGACCTATTGCTTATAGTTTAAGAAAAACAGACCAAAACACAAAAACTTAACTATAACCACTGAACCATGAAAATGAGGTCAAGGTCAGATGACACCTGCCAGTTGGACATGTACACCTTACAGTCCTTCCATACACCGAATATACTAGACCTATTGCTTATAGTATCTGAGATATGGACTTGACCACCAAAACTTAACCTTGTTCACTGATCCATGAAATGAGGTCGAGGTCAAGTGAAAACTGTCTGACGGGCATGAGGACCTTGCAAGGTACGCACATACCAAATATAGTTGAACTATTGCACATAGTATTAGAAAAAAAGACCAAAACTCAAAAACTTAACTTTGACCACTGAACCATGAAAATGAGGTCAAGGTCAGATGACACCTGCCCGTTAGACATGTACACCTTACAATCATTCCATACACCAAATACAGTAGACCTATGGCATACAGTATAAGAAAAACAGACCAAAACACAAAAACTTAACTATAACCACTGAACCATGAAAATGAGGTCAAGGTCAGATGACACCTGCCAGTTGGACATGTACACCTTACAGTCCTTCCATACACCAAATATACTAGACCTATTGCTTATAGTATCTGAGATATGGACTTGACCACCAAAACTTAACCTTGTTCACTGATCCATGAAATGAGGTCGAGGTCAAGTGAAAACTGTCTGACGGGCATGAGGACCTTGCAAGGTACGCACATACCAAATATAGTTATCCTATTACTTATAATAAGAGAGAATCTAACATTACAAAAAATCTGAACTTTTTTTTCAAGTAGTCACTGAACCATGAAAATGAGGTCAAGGACATTGGACATGTGACTGACGGAAACTTCGTAACATGAGGCATCCATATACAAAGTATGAAGCATCCAGACCTTCCACCTTCTAAAATATAAAGCTTTTAAGAAGTAAGCTAACGCCGCCGCCGCCGCCGCCGCCGCCGCCGGATCACTATCCCTATGTCGAGCTTTCTGCGACAAAAGTCGCAGGCTCGACAAAAACCAAGTACATGTTTAGATTCAGCATATCAAAGAACCCCAAGAATTCAATTTTTGTTAAAATCAAACTAAGTTTAATTTTGGACCCTTTGGACCTTAATGTAGACCAATTCGAAAACAGGACCAAAAATTAAGAATCTAAATACACGGTTAGATTAGGCAATTACCCCCAAAATCAATCCCAGCCTTCCCTTTGTGGTATGGTACCTTGCAGTACAATTTCAGAGAGATCCATACACTTGAACACAAGTTATTGTCTGGAAACTACAAAAATGCTTATTTTTCTACCCTTTTTAGCCCCTTATTCCTAAACGTTTTGGGCAATTACACCCAAACTCAATTTCAGCTTTCCCTTTGTGATATGGAACCTTGTAGTACAATTTCAGAAATATCCATACACTTACACACAAGTTATTGTCATGAAACTGGAAAAATGCATGTTTTTTGCCCCTTTTTTGGCCCCTAATTCCTAATATTTTGAGGCAATTACCCCCAAAATCAATCCCAGCATTCCCTGTGTGATATGGATACTTGTGGTACAATTTCACAGAGATCCATACACTTGAACACAAGTTATTGTCTGGAAACTAGAAAAATGATTATTTTTGGACCCTTTTTGGCCCCTTATTCCTAAACGTTTTGGGCTATTACCCCCAAACTCAATTCCAGCTTTCCCTTTGTGATATGGAACCTTGTAGTACAATTTCAGAAAGATCCATACACTTACACACAAGTTATTGTCATGAAACTGGAAAAATGCTTGTTTTTTGCCCCTTTTTTTGCCCCTAATTCCTAATATTTTTAGGCAATTACCCCCAAAATCAATCCCAGCATTCCCTGTGTGATATGGAACCTTGTGGTACAATGTCAGAGAGATTCATACACTAACACACAAGTTATGTCTGGAAGTTACAAAAATGCTTATTTTTGGCCCCTTTTTGGCCCCTAATTCCTTAACTGTTGGTACCATAACCCCCAAAATCAATCCCAAACTTCCTTTTGTGGTATTGAACCTTATGGTAAAATTTCATAGAGATTCATTCACTTAAACTAAAGTTAGAGTGCGAAAACCAATGTGTCTTCGGACGACGCCGGACGACGCCAAACGACGACGATGACGACGCCAACGTCAACGTCATACCAATATACGACCGCAAAAATTTTTTTGCGGTCGTATAAAAATCAGCCCAATATCTGAAGGCGTTTAGAAAAAAAAGTCCAGATAACTGTGATTTTCAACAATTTATCAAAGTCCAAAGTCTGTAATTTTGGCAAAAATTAACAGAGCAGAATGAAACTTAAACTTGATCTGTAACTCATCATGGGTAACTCACATAGTGACATACCAAAAATCAGCCCAATATCTGAAGGCGTTTAGAAAAAAAGTCTGTATAACTGTGATTTTCAACAATTTATCAAAGTCCAAAGTCCGTAATTTCGACAAAAATTAACAGAGCAGAATGAAACTTAAACTTGATCTGTAACTCATCATGGTTAACTCACATACCAAAAATCAGCCCAATATCTGAAGGCGTTTAGAAAAAAAGTCTGTATAACTGTGATTTTCAACAATTTATCAAAGTCCAAAGCCAGTAATTTCCGCAAAAATTAGCAGAGCAGAACGAAACTTAAACTTGATCTGTAACTCATCATGGTTAACTTTCATACCAAAAATCAGCCCAATATCTGAAGACGTTTAGAAAAAAAATGGGTATAATGGTTTGTTGCGGAATGACGGAATGACGGACAAGGATAAAACTATATCGCCCTGACAACTTTGTTGCGGGGCCATAAAAAGTCCGGAGAAACTTACCCCCAGTATGTATCTGATCATTTGTTGTTTTATTAAGAATTGCTTGGCCAATTAAAGCATTGCTAATTAAAGCTGATAACTGATTTCACAGTGTCTAGGGTTTTTAGTATATCAATCAAAGCTATCTAAGTGGTTGGTAAGTATACAAAACTTTTAAGCCCATCATTTCTAGCAGTTTCATCTGGGTTATTTTCAAATGATAAATTTAGATGATTGAGACTGGGTTGATTTTGGGAATTTAACCCTTAACCATTTATAATTCAAAGAAGTTATAATTTCAAAAGTTTAATACCAGCAGTAAAATGAGTTATTCATAGTAGAATTAGGAGATAACTGTATTGCTAGGTAAACTCAATTTGTGACAGTAAAATCTACGATTTACGAAGGCCAAGCTTAAAATACAATACAGTTATCGCCATTCTAATGCCACATATTAAAATAAATTCCATTTAATAAATATTTTGGCTTAAAAATGCCATAAATGAAAAAGTGCACGAAACTGTTGCATAGTCTTTAGCATCTAAACAAGGTGACGTCATATGTATACTCGGGATGTCAAACATAAACACTTAGACATATTTATACTTTTCGTACGCTTCAGAATGGTTTCAATTTTGACAAAAAGAAGATTTTGAGGCTCAAAATGTGACTGTCTTGTTTATTTTTTTGAGAAATTACATACTCCAAAAAATCGGAATTCAAAATGGTGGCTTTCTTAGTTACGGACTGGTAGAACGTGGAATCTTACCCTTCAAAATATTTGTCAACGTCCAATGAAAATTATCATAACAAAGGAATTGCATTAGAATTACAATTACAGTTTTATATCCTACTTTTCTGTTGATCTGTTTTTGGAGAATGATTTATATCACAAATTTTCATAATTTTGTTAAATAAAATTTTGGAGGTCCAGGACATTGTGTAAGTTATAACTTGAGATTCTCATGAATGATTGTAGGCTAAAAAATGTAGTACAATTGGTCGGCTATTAATAAATAAAAATATAACAAGTCAGCTCAGTGATTATGCAACATTCTCATGACACAAATCATTCATTGTAAAATGATAACTCAAACAATCGCTCCATTCTGGGTTAAAATTGTTTTGAATGTAAAATCCAAGGGGGTACAAAGTCGATGTTGTATTAATTTCATTTAATTATCGACAGTATTAGTCCTTGGTGACTTTGAAAATCTCAATTTCCCTTGTCTGCACGTTTTTTTCTTACCTGTGCAACTTGTACCGATTTTGATGGCGACACGTCTTGCTATGAAGTCATAGCTATCCTCTTACTCATAATAAGTGAGTATTTCACTATACCAAAAAAACTTTTTTCAAGCAGTCACTGAACCATGAAAATGAGGTCAAGGACAATGGACATATAACAGACAGAAACTTCGTAACATAAGGTATCTGCATACAAGGTATGAAGCATCCAGGTCTTCTAGCTTCTGAAATATAAAGCTTTATACAAAGTTTATGCCGCCGCCAGATTGTAATATCTATGTCTCACATTCTGCAACTTTTGTCGCAGGCAGGAAAAATGAATAAACAGCTGCGCCATGAGCGCATGATACGCCCGTCTCTTTTTCAAAGAATAAAGTTCAATAACTTCTCAATGTCATATCAGAAATTCATGAAAAACTAAAGGGAGGCTATCTTAATACATATAAACCAGTTACCAAAGTCTCCTGATAACTGCTCAAAGCATTGTCCAATAAACTGCTTCGCTGAGCGCAGCTGGATACGCCCGCAGAGGTCGAACCCTGAACAGTTGGGGCAAAAATGGACACAATATTCAAGCTTGATACAGGTCTGAATTTGGATTGTAATTAAATATTAGACATATTATAGGTTTCTGAATAAATGTAGTCAAAGAACTTGAAATTGGTTATATGAATTGAATTTATATTCAATTAAGAGATTTCTTGCTGTTGTGCAATACACTATGCTGTTGCGCAATACTTAGTAAATCTGTTGTCAGACTATAAACAAATAAAATTTATAAAATTCTAAAGGGAGCTTACATCAATAGATATAATCAATTCACCAAAGTTTCATAAGAATTGCTGAAAGCATTTTTGAGTTATTGTCTGAAAACTGGAAAATCCCTCCTTTTTTAATGAATAAAACCCCATAACTCGGAACTGTAAAATCTAAAATTTATAAAATTCTAAATGGAGCTTACATCAATAGATACAGTGTATCAACAATTCATCAAAGTTTCATGAGAACTGCTGAAAGCATTTTTGAGTTATTGTCCGAAAACTGGAAAATCCCCCCTTTTTTATGAATAAAACCCCGTAACTTGGAAACGTAAAATCTAAAATTTATAAAAATCAAAAGGGAGCTCATGTCAACAGATATAAACAATTAACCAAAATTTCTTGCAAGTTGGTGAAAGCATTCTTGAGTTATTGTCCGAAAGCTGGAAAATCCCCCTTTTTTTAATGAATAAAACCCCATAACTCGGAAACGTAAAATCTAAAATTTATAAAAAACGAAAGGGAGCTCACGTCAATAGATATAAACAATTCACCAAAGTTTTATGCAAATTGATTAAAGCGTTTTTGAGTTAATGTCCGACATGTTGACGACGGACGGACAGACGGACAGACGGACGGACGGACAGACGGACAGACGGACGGACGGACAGACGGACAGACGGACAACGGTATACCATAATACGTCCCGTAAACGGGCGTATAAAAACTGGAAAATCCCACCCCACCCCCTTTTTATGAATAAAATCACATAAATCTGAAACGTAAAATCTAAAATTTATAATAATCGAAAGTGAGCTTACGTCAATAGATATAAACAATTCACCAAAGTCTCATGAAAACTGCTGAAAGCATTTTTGAGTTATTGTCCAAAAACTGGAAAATCCCCCTTTTTTTAATGAATAAAACCCAATAACTCAGAAACGTAAAATCTAAAATTTAAAAAAATCAAAAGGGAGCTTATGTCCATATATATAAGCAATTCACCAAAGTTTCTTGTAAATTGGTGAAAGCATTTTTGAGTTATTGTCCGAAAACTGGAAAATCCCCCTTTTTGTAATGAATAAAACCCCAGAACTCAGAAACGTCAAATTCAAAATTTATAAAAAAAACGAAAGGGAGCTCAGGTCAATAGATACAAACAATTCACCAAAGTTTCATGCAAATTGGTTAAAGTGTTTTTGAGTTAATGTCCGGCATGTTGACGACGGACGGATGGACAGACAGACGGACGGACAATGGTATACCATGGTGTATAAAAACAAGTTCACAAAACACTACACAGAAAACTGAAGTCAAGACTGAGCAAAGCGAACACACCAAAAACTGGGGGTGATCTCAGGTGCTTCTGAAAGGTAGGCAGATAGTGGCACCTGTTGTGAATTGGAACATGTGCGTGGTCATAAGTGACACCAATATTTTATAACAGTCAACCAACTTGTCAGAAAAACCACAACACAAAAGACTTTTCCAGGTATGCCAAATTCCAGGCCTTTTTGAAATACAAGTCAGGAGCCTGTAGTTCAGTGGTTGTCGTCGGTTCATGTCTGTCATATTTGTTTTTCGTGAAGTTTTGTAATAAATTAGGCTGTTAGTTTTCTCATTTGAATTGTTTTATATTTTTGTGTCAGGGCTTTTTATAGCCGACTATCATTGTTGAAGGCCTTACGGTTGCCTTTAATTGCTTACATCCACATCATTTGGAACTCTGGTGGATAACTGTCTCATTGGCAATCATACCACATCTCTTTATTTTTATATTGAGATGACATCCATAACTCTTTCGAAAGGGATAAAAATGTGAATTGACAGTGGACCACCACTTAACCTTTTCAGATGTCAATTCCTTAAAATGAATAGTTGTGCTTTAACAATGTATACATACTGGATTTCTAAGGAGAGAAATAAAATCAGGTTTATGTCTCTTCAATGCCACTTCAAGGTCATGCACTGCATCCACCTGCTTCCTACGAACTGCTGCATCAACTGTTCTCTCCAGTTCTTTATATGGTCCCCATAGCTGGGCCTCTGCAAGAATATATTGCTTTTACATAATGTAATTTTTTACATGAAGAGAACAATGAAGAAGAGCCTAAGTAAATGTATAATGTATACATGTGTGATCTAAATTATATTCATATTATATGAAGTCCAAAAAAAGATATGTTGTCACATGTGTTGAAGTTACAAACTATAAAATAAGAATCCCAGGCTGATTTATTTTTTCTTCAATATTTTCGTAATTATCTGAATTACTTCATTGACCTTTTTTCTGAAGTATCAAATTTGAGAAAATTTAGAAACTAATGCAAGGTTGGTCAGTAAAAACAGTCCAGGTCAATACTCTAGCAGTTGCTGAACCATGAAAATGAGGTCAAGACAATATACATATGACAGACAGACACTTCATAACATAAGGCATCTGCATACAACAGTCAGGGGTACTACTTGTACAAGAAATCTTTATTTACTTGAAGAAGTAAAAAAAATATACTTATATAAGTTAATTATAATGTTTGAATAATCTCCCCTTAATTTTCTCAAAAATTCACTTATATAAGTAAATTTTTTTTACAATCCCACAAAAATTCTCAAGTTTTGAGATGTAAAAACATGCCTTTAATGATTTTTCCCAGGTTAGCTCATAATTTTTTATTAGAGTTCAATGTTTCATCTCATTAATTCAACAAAGAAACTGATTGCACAAAGATCTTAGTATATGTAAGAGAATGATAATCCCTTTCTTCATGATTAAGTACGAGCGTTAGCGAGTACTTATCATGATGAAAGGGATTATCATTCTCTTACAAACTTAGAATATTGTAAAGTGCTCAAGGCTCAAATGATCTCTTGATTGATTTTATTCAAGAATTAGTTTCATTGTCCGTGAAATGTTTATAATTAATGGATGACTTCCCTTTTAGGCATTTCATTTATGTATTGGTCTTAGTGATGTTAGAATATAGCAAAGTGCTCTCGACCAATGAAAGTGTAGAATTTGGTGTTCCTTAATTGTGAAGAATGAATGTAAATCATGTTCTTAGTAAGGGATTATCCTTTTGTTTAGGCCTATTTACAGTTCAAAACAAAGAATTTGTATAAATGAGTTACAACTGTCTGAAGCACATTTATTAGGATTATTGATTTAAAGTTGAATTTTGAAACAAACAAAAATGATCAAAATAAGTTTGAAGTTTACTTGTGCAGTACAATTGATACCGTTTGTGTTATCATGTGAATACTTAGAACTTTCAAATTACAAAAAAAAATAAGCAATATCAAGAAGAAAAAGAAAAAAACTTTTAAAATCAAATATAACCTAAATCTTTAGCTACATGTATTACGCTTATCAAGTCAGATAACTGTATTCGCAGTTAGTAAGAATAGTCATTTCCAAAATACCGTTACATACAGGAAATTGAATTTACTTTTGAATTTCCTATAAAAAGCAATTCCTTTCAAAATTCAAAATTTAGTTAATTAAGTAGTATTTAATGTAAAGAGCTGGAATAAAATTGGCTTTGGAATACAATTTAGTTGTAACTCTGATTTTGAATTTATCTAATTGAACTGTAGATAAACAAAAAGATAATTCCTCACTAAAATATTACATAATTTACACTCATACTCACAATTAGGAAACTTATACAATTTCTACAATATCATTGTAACGTTGTGTCATCTAATGTCTAAAACACAATTTATTAAAATTTCCCAAATTAAAAGTAAGTCCTTAGTATATGTAAGAGAATGATAATCCCTTTCTTCATGATTAAGTACGAGCGTTAGCGAGTACTTATCATGATGAAAGGGATTATCATTCTCTTACAAACTTAGAATATTGTAAAGTGCTCAAGGCTCAAATGATCTCTTGATTGATTTTATTCAAGAATTAGTTTCATTGTCCGTGAAATGTTTATAATTAATGGATGACTTCCCTTTTAGGCATTTCATTTATGTATTGGTCTTAGTGATGTAAGGACTTACTTTTAATTTGGGAAATTTTAATAAATTGTGTTTTAGACATTAGATGACACAACGTTACAATGATATTGTAGAAATTGTATAAGTTTCCTAATTGTGAGTATGAGTGTAAATTATGTAATATTTTAGTGAGGAATTATCTTTTTGTTTATCTACAGTTCAATTAGATAAATTCAAAATCAGAGTTACAACTAAATTGTATTCCAAAGCCAATTTTATTCCAGCTCTTTACATTAAATACTACTTAATTAACTAAATTTTGAATTTTGAAAGGAATTGCTTTTTATAGGAAATTCAAAAGTAAATTCAATTTCCTGTATGTAACGGTATTTTGGAAATGACTATTCTTACTAACTGCGAATACAGTTATCTGACTTGATAAGCGTAATACATGTAGCTAAAGATTTAGGTTATATTTGATTTTAAAAGTTTTTTTCTTTTTCTTCTTGATATTGCTTATTTTTTTTTGTAATTTGAAAGTTCTAAGTATTCACATGATAACACAAACGGTATCAATTGTACTGCACAAGTAAACTTCAAACTTATTTTGATCATTTTTGTTTGTTTCAAAATTCAACTTTAAATCAATAATCCTAATAAATGTGCTTCAGACAGTTGTAACTCATTTATACAAATTCTTTGTTTTGAACTGTAAATAGGCCTAAACAAAAGGATAATCCCTTACTAAGAACATGATTTACATTCATTCTTCACAATTAAGGAACACCAAATTCTACACTTTCATTGGTCGAGAGCACTTTGCTATATTCTAAAGTATTTGAGCAAGGCCTTCAAAAATTGCTCCTTGGGGGCTTGTAAATGAGCAGTGTTCTGAAGATAACAGACAATGAGATTTTCATTGTCCATTAAATTACACTTAAATGATTAGTTAAGACATCTGCAAAGGACAGACAATTTAAAATTCTATTAGAGCTAAGAAGTCCTAAGAATTCAAGAAAAGAAGATAGGATGACTTTTTCACTTATATAAGTAAAAAAATCTGAATGTCTAAGGGACATAACTAAGCCAATTTTTTTTTTACCTTTACAAGTAAATAAAATACACTTGTATAAGTATCCTACAAATTTACTTATATAAGTATATTAATATTACTTCTTCAAGTAAATAAAAATTACTTGTACAAGTAGTACCCCTGACTGTACAAGGTACATGCATGAAGCATCCAGGTCTTCTACCTTCTGAAATATAAAACTTTAAATTCTAACGCTTTACATTTAATGAGGAAATGGAATTAATCTTCAATTTCATCCTTGCATAGTAGACAAACTCTCTGTTCTTAAGGTGTTCTAGTATAACTGCCAACTTCTATTAGTAATTTGCTATTACTAATTTAATTTTTATCATTTTAGAAATAACTTTTGTTAGGTCTAGTAGGAGATATTTTTCTAATTAGAAATTATTTTTAACTTTCAATACGTTCTTAGTTTATTACCATGACTATCTGATTTAGAGTCACAAAAAAGAGCTTGTTTCCAGGATTTTTTTAATTCCTCCTCTTAATTTCTTTAGAAATGAAAAATGTAATTTTGTCTTTTACATAGTACATGTATTTTGAATTTCCCAAACATGCTTAAAGTTTTCACTGTATATTTTCTTCACCATACTCTCACTATTCATATTAATAATATAAAGCCAGAAATTTATCGTATTTTTAAGAACTGTGTATGAATCTCTGACAATATTTTGAAGCAATTATAAAACACAGATGATTAATTTTTCTGAGAGATTTGTAATGTCATACCTTTTGAACCCAATCTTTATTTTGTTGAATATCTATGTTTGGTTTGTAACACTAGTGACCATTTAATTCAATTATGTGACTTTTATTTCAAAGTATAGTGATCTCTATGCCTTCTGACCATTCAATTCATTTAACACTTTTACTCGTACATGTACATGTTGTATGTTAATATTTTCAGGTCCAACATGATTCTTCAGAATATTGTAAAGTATGACATGAATATTTAAAGATGTGCAGTTACATAAGTAACACATATAGTTATTGATGGGTTTGTGTTGCTCAGTCTTTAGTTTTCTATAAAAGTGTTTTGAAGACCATTGTGGTTCTTTTCCATGTTTTCGTTCTTTTCTTTTTTTTTTGTCAAGTGTTGTCATTTCTATTCGTCATTTTAAATCTTATTGTCCCTTTTGGTATCTTACACATCTTTTTTAGATTTTTTTTTCAGTTGCTGCATGAGATTTTAGTATGATAATTCAATACATATATCTATTTAACAATTGATTTCTTTACTAAACAGTAACTTCTGCCATTGTTATTAGTTATAGTGTTACCACTTGAACAAAACAAAATTCAGAAGAATAAATTCTAATATTTACAAATTTTAAAATAAACTGTTATTACAGAGATATGTCTCGCTTTTTGGTTATTTCGATAATGCAAATGTTGAAATTAAAATAGCAACACTTTTACATGTAAGTTTTGCAAATATTCAAAGTCAATGAATCATGACTGAAAGTACATGGCCAAACAATCTCCATGGAAATGAGATGTTCCAATGCTAATACAACTGCATACCAAATACCATTGACTTATTATAAACTAAGCAAAATTTCAAATTCATTAAACCATAACTGAGGGGGCGGGGTCAAATAATCTCCATTGTAATGAGATGAACCAATGCTAATACAACTGCATACCAAATATCATTGACCTACCACTAGTGGTTCCCCATAAATCGACCTAATCACAAACAAATACATGAAAACTAAGCAAAAGTTTCAAAGTCAATAGACCATGACTGAGGGGGTGGATACAAATAATCACCATGGAAATGAGATATGCCAATGCTTATACAACTGCATACCAATTACCATTAACCTACCACTAGTGGTTCCCCATAAACTGACCTAATCACAAACTAATACATGAAAACTAAAAAAAAATTTCAAAGTCAATAGACCATGACTGAGGGGGCGGGGCCAAATAATCTCCATGGAAATGAGATATGCCAATGCTTATACAACTGCATACCAATTATCATTAACTTACCACTAGTGGTTCC